AATGTTTCTAAGAATTTCTCATTGGCTGTTAACTAATGGAGCCTTAATGTAAAGTGTGACCGAACTATAAGGAATCAAAACACTTTCAAACAATATCTAGGGCATGTTGTAGTCCAGATTAAAATGTAAAGAAGTTTGAAAATAAATAGCCCATTAATCCTAAGTATTGAAGTATTTGCCGAATACAAAAATCTGAATGGATGTTAAAATCATTTAAATACGTTTCAGAAAGTAGCGCAGCTGCTTCGTTTACTGGGTTTCCGGGGTAACGACTGCATTTCAAGGTATTTTGAAGTGCCCACGATAACAATATTGTGCATATTCATTATCGCGATATATCGCATTACTGCGCTTCACTCTGAAACACGCGGCACGTATATTTAATTAACCAAATAGCAGCCTTTGCAATCTGATAATTGCACTAAGCCAAATCGCGATTTCAGTTTTTATTTTCAAACAATTCCTGCAGCCCTAGTTAATAGTTAACTCTCTCTCTCTCTGTGTTTGTCTTGGCAGACTCAGCCAGCCGTATGTTTACCCTCAGGCCTTCCTGCAGCCCAGTGTGGTTCTGCCCGCACAGGTCACCTCCAGCACCACGACCCCTTACCTAGACTTCAGCACTGCCTACACTCAGTACGCCTCCTCGGCCTTCGAGCAGTATCCCTACGCCCCCTCGCCAGGCTTCCTGAGCTACATGTACCCTCCAGGCACCCCCGGGCCCTCCTCCGCCACAAACACCCCGGTCCCCACAGCCCTCCCCTCCATCGGAGGCGCCCCCAGCACAGCCTTCATCCAGATCCCTGCTCATCAGCTCCACGCCGACCGCCTGTAGATCAGGCCACAGGGACCCACCGGGTTTGCTGATATTGCACTAGAACATCATCATTTTGGGACAGGGAACTGTGACATCATCAGCCTGAGACTGGGGGCGAATACAAAGGGGCTTCAAGTTATTCTGCTTTTCATCAACCCTAAGTTTATGGACTTTTACTCTGACTGGTTACTCTTTATGATTAATAATGATATATTATTGGTAGAAGATTGTTGAATAACCAATATTAGATGAATAAATGGCGGATTGCAGGGTTGTAATGCAGACGGATCCAACGAATGAGAAGCGAGAGGTTCTACACACACAACCGTTCAAAAGTTTGGGGTCGGTAAGATTTTCTAATGTTTTTGAAAGACGTCTCTTATGCTCACCAAGCCTGCATTTATTTCATTAAAAATACAGAAAAAACTGTAATATTGTGAAATATTATTAGAGTTTAAAATAACTGCTTTCTATTTTAATATGTTTTAAGATGTAATCGATTCCTGTGATGCAAAGCTGAATTTTCAGCATCATTACTCCAGTCTTCAGTTTCACACGATTCTTCAAAAATCAATCTAATATGCTGATTTGGTGCTCAAGAAACATTTCTAAATATTATTATCAATGTTGGAAACAGTTGTGCTGCTGCATATTGTTGTGGAAACTTTTTTTAAGGATTCTTTAATGAAGAGAAGGTTCAAAAGAACAGCATGTTATTTCAAATAGAAGTGTTTTATAAAAAATATAAATGTCTTTGCTTCCACTTTCTATCAATTTAATGCGTCCTTGCTGAATAAAAGTATTAATTTCTTTCAAAATAAAAAAACGTTCCTGACCCCAAAAGTATGAAGGGTAGTGTGTATATATGCCGCTAAGTGACAGTTTTTTTTAAGTTTGGATGGTGTGCATCTGTGCAGGAATATCTGTTAAGCACAAAGCCTTAGAGACTTCTCCAGTTTTTTATTTTTTTATATAGCTGTTCTTATGACACAAATGTGCTTCCCTCTATCTGAGCGAAAAATATGTTAATTTTTTAACCAGACTTTTTCCAAGAATAGATAACTTTTCTAGAAATGTAGCGTTGCAAAGGATTTGTAATTCTGCTCATCACCATCACCTCTGTCAAATGTCTCTTCCATCCCTGTAGTTCCTTTCCTCAAGATTCCTCGCAAACTCAAGTAGCTCCACGTAGATTGTAACGACATTAATCCAGCATTCAGTAACACATGGATTCACGATGCGCTGTAGCTCGCCTGTGAATAATCATGAGGAAATAGACACTGAAACATTGAGTATTAATCATATTCTAATTCTGTTTCATCTGTGATGCTTTTTAGACTCAGTTTTGGTCTGCTAAAAGGACAAATGAAAGAGTATTGTGACAAATGTCCGTGGTTGCTTTTGGTATCGCTCCACGAATGACACTACAGGACAAAATGCCAACAGGAACATGCAGAAAAACTTGAGAAAAGTCTCGATTGATGAAACGTTTGGACAGCACAAGAGGACATATTGCCAGGACAATCGGTTTGTTTTCATAAGAACAGTGTTGTCATTAATCTGCCCTGAGACACTCAACTCAAACTATGAAAATACCTTACAGTGAAAGCCATAAGACCAGAACATGCAAAACAAGTAATAAAGTCAATTTGCAAAAACTGACCTTCACTTATGTGGTTATTTTGACGTTTGTGTATGTTTTACTACATTCTTACCTTTTTTTTTTTTTGCCACCCTGACGATGCATTATTATATGGTTCATATGATTATGCTGTCAATTTGTCTGTTTTACACTTGTCACTTGAGTTTATTTTTCTTCTTTGGAACTTGTTTTGTTTCTGCCGACAACTTCATTGAGAAACACGGAAGTATACATGTGCTTACAATGAATAACCGAAGGCAGTTTAACAACCATTTATGGCTGCTTCAATGGAAGTGCTGGAGTGAATCCAAGAGTTCATGGACGAGCATACAAACCTATGCAAATGAAGGCAATGAAGGGCATTAGGGCTTTATGCAGGGCTTTATATATTTTTGTGAGTAGGCAAACTATCACTATGGAAACTACTGGAAGTTGTATGCATGAGGCCTCAGACCTCAATCCAAATGAGCACCTGTGAACGACTTTACAAACAGACAGTCCTCCCTCCGACCAGATGAAATGTTTATGCACTGTGCGTGAGGCTCCCTTTATATTGCACAGATGTATTTTTTTTTTTTGACAGTTCAGGATACTAGGAGTTTTTCTTGTGCACCACCTGCATGTCGATTTGGAAAAACTAATACTGGTTGATTTTGAACACATTTTACAACCCTGACCTTGACTGTATTTAGGGAAATCAAGGTTGCAGTTAGAAATATATATTGTACTCTATTTCTGTTATTCACTTTCATCACAGTAAAATTCTGCTCACAGATGCTGTTTTGACCAAGAGTTTGATGATTATTAAATCATATTGATTTTATTTTTAGTTACCAAATGTACAAAACGCAGTAAGTCAGGAATAGGCCTACATACATTTGATATCATCGCTATGTGCCCATTTAGTCATTTAGTATTATTTATTGTATTTATGTTAATATTTACTGTATTTATTGGTTGTAAAGTTAATCGTTTTTTTAAAAGGCATATTTGAAATGCTTTCCGGGTTTTGTGTCAGTTGGCCTAATAAACAGGTAAGGTTAGGCTGGTGTAAACAAACAATTCCCATGACTTAAAACTCTAAATTCTCTACAAGATTATGAAAACATGTAAAACACGTTGAAGATTAATTGTATTATATGTTCAGCCTTTTACAGTTAGCATACTTGTGCACATAATGCACATAATTTGGATTTACATTTTTACGCGCTCTTTGTTGATCGTTTCAAGATGGCGGCGCTGTGTCATGAGAAATCGGGTACACACAAATGACATTAAATATGTATATTCTTTATAGTATAAAACAAATAGGGAATAATGCAATTCCTTTCACTTGGGGGAGGGGCATTTTCATTAGGCTATATATTTTATTGGACAAGAAATTGTAGTGCAAGATGATCCTCAATGTTTCTGATCCGTTTTTGAGAATGTAAATGTTATTATTAACAGGGGGGGGGGTTCAGAAATAATAAAAAATTAAACTATATCCAATTCACTAATTGTATGATTAATATGTTACATTTTAAAACAATTTTAAAAAAAATAACAGCACCACCTCTCTCTCTGTGTTTCGGAGCAGCTCAAGCCGTTTCTCATCGCGCTGTGAGAAATACAGACTGAACGGCGACTCAAAACACCCGACCGCTGCATGAGCATATGATACGCAAATTACAGCTCTCAGTGTCGCGCTAGTTAGGTTTCGATAGATGACCATTTTAATCAAGGTAAAGACTATTACAGTCACATACAAGATTCACGTTATTTTTGATGCGCAACCGAACCGTGTAATGTTATGTGTGCTCTTGGCGCACTGATCACTAAAACATCATGTTTCTGCTTGAACACAGTTCAGTATATTCACGTAGTTGTCAAAATTAATGTACAACGAGTGTTTTATAACAGATGCTCACCAAAGAGGCGTGTTTTGGAGAAATGTGTGAGGATCAGTGGTGTTTATGTAGCCTACATATGGGCTCCAAACACATACACAATCGCTTGTTCTGACTTTTTAATCACTGTTCACTAATAACGTCGAGCCGCCTTCAAATCGCTGAGTCTCCACATATGCAGAATGCAAAATGAATTTTTCATTTGTATTTTGGTGTGTTTAGTGATTCTGAATAGGGCTGTATAGTAGTTTATATGCAGTCCTTTGGCACGTCCCTGTGGTCTTGTTTGGTACGGCAGGTTGACTTGTGCTTATTTGTTAAAGTTACTTTATAATTGAGCTTTAGGTACTTTTAAGTTGCGGTATTAATGCGGTATTGATTCGGAGAGGAGGGGGGCCTCGGAGTAAAAAAGGTTGAGAACCACTGCTCTAATTAAACCCCGCCATAATAAAACTACTGGCAGCTGAATGTTTTTGAGGTCACAAACTGTTGTAGAACGCCATCTAGTGTTAATATTAGTTCCTGCATCATTCATACTACAAGCAAAATGAAGCATGTGCGCATGTGATATATACAAACACTCTTTCTTTTTCATGTATTTATTTGCATTCAGATATGATTCATATTGCTTTTTTTTGCCCAGTCTTGGATGTTATCCTCAAACAAGAGTTAATGAAAGGCAACACAGACACTGTAAACTTGAGAAGTAATTGCAAAGACTGGCGGCAAAGACCGGCTGTGTTTAAAACAGCTCAGTCCACGGGTGGTTTGTGTGAACATCAAAGTGAATGGAATATCATTGCAAACAATACAGTTTGGGGTGTCTTCGAGTCCCGTAAAAATAAGAAAGAAAGAAAACCATAAGCATGGTACAAACACGAGTGAGCTGTAATGATAAAACCCCAAAATAATTGCTCAGCTGACAGACACACTCGCACATACACTTGATCATCATACACAAGCTAAACACACGTACATACCTGGGCACGTTCTCCCTCACACACACAAAATTACCCACACATTTGCACTCACTTGCACACCCACGTGAAATTAAAAGTAAAAAGTGTGAAACCCTGGTTAAGTTGCATACATCCACATGGTGTTGTAGAAAACGAAACTGAGAATGAATTGTGAAAGTGAAGTCAGATGAAAAGTGAAAAGCATGCCTAAATAAACAGCTCTAGCCCCGCCCACATCCACCCTAACCCTGCCTCAGCTCCGCCCCCTGCCCTGCATTAATATCAGCAACAAACCTAGAATACTAAACAAAATAGTGTACTCAATTCATCTCCCTTAATGATTTTAGCGAGGATATGCGACCCTCAGCGCGGGATTTTATTAACTGAGGCGTATTCACTGTTTCTTGAGGAGGCGAGATGGTCCAGTGAGGTAGAGCCAGATTTCGGTCCACAGGTTCTTAGCAGGTTTATAGGGTTTGAGTCTTCAGCTCGATGGGCTCCCCGCGGGTCTCCTGCTGGTTCTCGTCCTCTGGGGATCGGCTGCCCTTGAGAGTGGCTAGCCGCTCGGAGAGACCCCGCATACGGGGAAACAAAAAGGACATCTGAGAGCCGACTAAGCAGGCGAAGGTGACGGCCGGATTGATGTGTCCTCCACTGATGTGGCCGATGGATTGGATGAGCGTGGCAGCAGCGAAACCGAAGCAGAGGGCGGTGTGGAAGACATGGTACGGCCCGGAGGTCCAGCGTAGCGCTGCGCCCATCCCGAAGAAAACGAAGAACATGGTGCCGAAAAACTCGGCGAACACCGCCCGCCAGAACATCATAGAGCGGAACTCCCACATCATGATTTATGAGATCCAGCTAAAATAAAAAACCGAAGCTTATTTAGAGTTAGCAAAAGTGGCTAAAGGAAGTGTCTTTGAGGAAAAAAATAAAAGTGTCCTTTTTAACAAGTACACAAAAAGTTAAATCCTTAACTAGTTGATCTGAAGCTGCCGCAAAAAAACAAATCAATCGAGGGCGAAAAGAGTGATGAAAGTCCGCTTAATAGAACTAGCCGTTAGCTAAGGCCGTGTGGGAAGCCGCGAGTAAACAGTCACACATGTAGCCGCACACAGGTCGTCTCTGCCAGCGATGTTTCTCTTCGCCTGCACAACACCCAGACTGCTAAAGAAACATGAGGTGTGTGTGGTTGTGTGTGTGCACGCGCAGAAGATTTGGAGGGTTTTGTCAGAGAGACCTGAACATCGATGCTAAAGGCTAAATCTACAGGGCTAATTCTATATGAGCGGCACAGAGAGGTTACTGAGCATATCCTGCCCACACCTAGTAGAGCTGGTCTGACGGACCACAAAGGGGCCTTAGGGGGCATTTATAATGGCCTCGGGGCCCAGCGTGACGACATAATCCCCCCCGAGAGGCAGAAGCTAAAGGGGGCATCCCATATCAAGCACACGCCACTCACTTCTCTCTGCATTAAACTCATAGAGAGCGAGATTAAGACAGGAACACCAGGGCTCAAAGTGAAGGGGATGTATATTTTTGATGGCTATAGTGGCCTAAAGTACAAAACAGATCCACCAATCAGATTTTAGTGAGGTCATGAAATGTCTCATTAAAATTTGCTTTCGAAACGCTTATAAAAATCAGTAAAGTTGTGGATTTTTATCAGAACTGCATGTGGATTTAGGTTTGACAGGCGAGTTAGTGCTGACCTGAACTCACACACAGGCAGAACACACACACAACACACATCCTCAGAATAATGCCACGCATCTGCACACACACAATGTGCGTCCGATCCAGCGGCTCAAGAGAGGCCCTACGCTGGCAGATATGATCCAGCAGTGCTCAGATACACGCAGCGAAATCCCTGAGCACAGGAAAGACATTGCTGCTCAGAGCATGAAGCTAACATGAGAAAACATCCTCTAGCTGTCTCGCTGCTTTGAGCTGCTATCTATCTATCTATCTATCTATCTATCTATCTATCTGTCTATCTGTCTATCTATCAATCAATCAATCTATCTATCGTTCTATCTGTCATTCTATCTACTGTTATACCGGTCTTTTTTTGGATGTAAAAAACTGTAAACATGATGGTGTAGATGTTTTTTTTTTTTCTTGAAAGAAATCGGTGCAGTGTGGTTTATGGATATGTTATTGAGTGCTGTTGGTGGTTCTGGTTTGTTCAGGGCAGAAGTGATTAGGCAGAGGTTTGTATTGTGTGTGGAGCAGGTCAGTTGTGGAGGGCCGGGGGGGCCTCATAGCTGGATAAAGCCTGGAAAATCCCTCTGTTAGAGGAGCTGATGGTGAATTAGGATCGCTGATCTCATTTGTTTTACTCCCTCACTTACACACACACTCACACTCATACACATGTATGCTGAACAAAACAAAATGCTGGCTGGCACTGTGTGGATGTTCTTTATTGTTTAAGTGCATGTGATGTGTGTGTTATTAATAGCTGCAATGTATGATTTCTGCATGTATATTCTAGCATGAATGTGCAACACAGCTATGTCCATATGTAAACTTGAATATGTGTGTGCAAATTTATATGCATAAAAGGGGTGATATGGGAATATTGGCACTGAACATTGTGCATTAGCATGTTCAACATGCTTTCTGTAAGAACACAGAAACAAAACTATTGAATATTAAAGTTTATTAAATTCTGCTACAATTACAAAGTGAAATGTGGATGTGAAGCAGCTGTGCTTTTTATTCCTATTTGATATAATTTACAGAAGATTATAGTTTGATATGATTTAAGTAAGAGTTTAAGAATCCCATTATTCATAAATATGAAAGTCAAACTTTTGCTCCAAATTAAAGTAAATCTTGTACATCTGCCAAAAAGAAAAAACACAGTTATATTTCTTGTTATAAATAATTTAACAAAAGATATAATTACACTATCAACAAACACACTGACATATACACTTTAAATGTTGTTAAACACTTTCAACTATAGCCATAAAATCACATTTAAGCTGAAATCCGGCAGCTATTTGGTTAACAGTGGATTTAGGAAAAAGAACATAATACTATTGAACCATAATAGCAAGCTCAAGCCACATAGGCATATGTTTGGCACTTTAATATCTATGCATGTGCAAGCTGAGGGTTTTTACAAACGGTGTTAATTGCATAGACAGCTTAAACAGTATAGTATACTGCTTCCGATCCACAACAGAACATTCTAGTACGAAAACATTTTTATAGAATATTTACAGACTTTTATGGAATATTAATGTGCTAGTTAACTCTAAAGCCTAATGTATCATATTTGATATGCAAGTTTCCAAGGTTTCTGAATTATCAAGATGTTCAAAACCTTAATGAAAACTTGTTTTTAATTGTTTTTCTCTCTACAGATTCAACAATCTGTTCACCTTCAAAAATAATAATAATAATAATCATTCCTAAATCTCTTGTTGCATCTCTCAATTCATGTTAGCATGGTTATGAAGAAGCTACACACGATCTGTTGTGTTCATGTTTCATGAATAAGAGCCATTGATTGGTTGTTTGTGACTAAATGTAAAAACCTGCATTCTGAAAGAAGTGAGCGTGAGCTTAGCTGTGCTCCAGTTTGTTGCTTTGTTTGTTTCTCATGGCGCTCTGTGTGACAGTGGACAGGGACGATCGAGACACGCTGGCCGTCTCCACAATCTCAATGTCCTTACAGGTCAAACAAGCCACCAGCTTCTGTCTGGACGCACTGGGGGCAAAGATGAACTCATGAGACACTCCAGCCAGCACTGCACCTAAGATTGGACCGATCCAGTAGACCTGAAAATAACAGAAAGCATATATACAGTAAATAGCATTTTAAAAACTGGTAAAAACATAAAATAACTCTCCACATCTATATTTATCTCAATATTTGTATTCAACCAGTGCAATTAACTCTTTTCAGATTTCTAGGCCTTTGATTGCAGTAGTAAACTACAGCAGGGTAAATTCCTATACAGGTTCATGGGAGACCATGGTAAATATTGTTTTCATGCTGACATTTGCTCCAGCAGCTAAAGTTATTGTGTTGTTGTTGTTTTTTTTGTATTCTGGATTTGATTAGTCAACAGAGCTGCTTAAAATAGTTTTGCTTTGCTTACCCAGTGATGTTCCCAATATCCAAGTATTATAGCGGGACCAAGAGAGCGAGCTGGGTTCAGACTGGCACCAGAAAACCTCCCCTAAATCCACACGCACATACATTAAAATAAATAAATGTATGTAAGTATGTACATATGTATGTGTATTTACAATAATACATGCAGAGGGAGGACAGAACAAAGGGATCATTATTCATAAAAAATATTATAAATAATAATAATAAAAAAATAGCTGTCCTGTAGCTCGACTAGCAATGCCAAAGTCATAGGGGAGGCACATACACTACTGTCCAAAGGTTTGGGGTCTGTAAGATTTTTAATGCTTTTGAAAGAAGTCTCTTCTGCTTACTAAGGCTGCATTTATTTGATCAACAATACAGTACTATTGTAAAATATTACGAAAATGTAAAAGATGTCATTTATTCCTGTGATGCAAAGCTGAATTTTCAGCATCATTACTCCAGTCTTCAGTGTGACATGATCCTTCAGAAATCAGTCTGACATGCTGATTTGATGCTCAAGAAACATTTCTGATTGTTATCAACAATGATAACAGTTGTGCTGCTTCATATTTTTGTGTAAACCTTGATGCATTGTTTTATTTAGGATTCTTTGATGAATCTAAAGTTCAAAAGTTAATTTATTTGAAATATAAATATTTTGGACAATATATCTTTACCGTCATTGTTGATCAATTTAATGTATCCTTGCCGAATAAAAGTATTTCTGTATTAAAATAAACTTTGGGTACTTTTTGCATATAGGCTGCCATATAAGTGTGATGAGGAATATTATGCAAAAATAACACATAGTAAAATGGCGATATAGCAGTGTACACCAAATATGGACAAATCAAAACATATAAGCAGGCTTACATTAGTCCCAAATTGAGACTCCAGGTCATACTGACACACATCCAGAGCACACACACATTTGCACACACTTACAGCAATAAAGATGGCAGTGGTCACAGCAAACCCAATGGCTAAATTCCCTGGTTCATTTATTTCTCTCCTGCGTTGATCTTCCACAGAAAATACAGTGAAACCCAGGAGAAACGTGGCAAGCATCTCCATCCCAAGAGCTTGACCTGTGTTCATTTCCACTGGGACCTTCAGAAAAGGAAATGAGAAGGAATTTTTATTTGTAATAAATTGATTGATTGATTGATGTTAACATTGAGTGTCATCTCTGTATCTCTATGGACTGGAAAATAAGTGCAAAGAGCTCTAAGGAGCATAATTCTCAACACAACCCTGTATCAATTCATCAAATCAGTTTTCATTGGTCCTGCAACATATATATATATATATATTAGTGCTGTCAAACGATTAATCGCGATTAATCGCATCCAAAATAAAAGTTTTTGTTTACATAATATATGTGCGTGTACTGTGTATTTTTATTATGTCTATATAAATAGAGACACATGAATGTATATATTTCAGAAAAATATTTAATGTTTATATATTAAATATCTTTTTTTTTTTTTTTTACAAAATCAGTCATTACATAAGTTTATCCACAAGAACAAAACCAAAACTTTTTTAGTTAGAATTAAAGACGATATAAAAGATACAACGACACTATCGCGATGCAAACTATTTTTAAATAAACTTCCAAATGTGTATTTAAATCCAAACCACAATTATTAGAGATAGAAAACAGTTAAAACATGTTTTACTACATTTAAGTAGCTAAACAGCGTACTGCAGACACTAATGAATAAAATAAATCAAATGAGACACTAAATAAAAGTCGTCAAGTCAAATTTATTTGTATAGCGTAATTTAATTTTATAATAAATAATAATAAAATTAATAGCTTTTCATTAAAAACTAAAACATTAAAATGATAAACATTAAAATAGCATGATGTTAATGTTTATAATATGTTATAATCGTAATGTTTTCATTGTCTCATTGTTGCATTTAGCACATTAAATAAATACATAAATACCTTTTTGAAATCCAGATGTAACGTCACCATAAAATCCATTTATTAATTTTAGTAAAATGCGGGGGAAACATCAAACTTAAATCAACTGACACAAAAAAAAATGATGTCACCAAAACTTTTTAGCTGGCATTTCATCATAAGTTCACCGTGAAACCTGATCATTCACACAAACTGGATCCACGTCCAATTGAATGCAAATGAAACGGAGTCTCTAGTAATTTAAAACCTTGCCAATCAATCATTCTGATATTTGTCCTTACCTCCTTTATGGCCATTATAGTCCGTGTGTCTGTGCTGATGTCGTGTGTGTTTGAGGACATGGGCTGGACTGAAGGGCGTCTTCTGTAATTAATTGCATCGGAGGACACTACAGGAGGCCCGGCACAAAGGGTTCACCGCCTCCCTCCGTCCCGCTACACGCTGACAAACCTCACCACAGCATGATCATGAACATCAATTGGACACATGAAGCTTTAATTCACTATAACAACAAGCACCTTGACAGCAGTCGCTAGATGCAGCAGGTCGCTCACAGCTTGATAGACAGCAAGCTGAACTGTGAGGCCGTTTATCATTATCTGCCACTGCTGGGTTTCAATAGCAACATCCTTCAATTATAAACCAATGCTAACACTAAGTGCACACATATATTATCTACCGTTTCTCTCCTTTCCTCATCCTGCTTGTGAGGTACTGTGATCATCGCCATGGCGACGGCCTGATTCAGTTGCCATGACACCTATTATGATGCTAGACGGCTCTTTAAAGTGGCCTGTTTCAGATGAGCTAAACATGTAGTCAGGACCTTCTGTTGGCCTTTAGACTGAGAGGGGTTTTAGTTCAGTTTAATCTAATTCATCAGATCAGATGAGGCTGATACACTGTAAAAAATGACCGTGAATTTAACGGTAAAAGACTGTAAAAATGCTACAGTAAAAACCTGTTTTTTTTTACAGTGTAGAGCTTCACTCAAATGTGATTCATTTCTATTAACTTACAGTGTGTGCGTAATTATTAGGCACGTTGATATTCTGATCATGTTTTTTTTCCAAGCGCATTTGACCAATTCCAAACCACATCAATCTTAGTAATTACTATTCATTTTGTATTTAATCATTTATAAGTGATATAAAAATCCTATATAGTAAAAACTCCTAAAAATGACCCTCATTTAATAAGAATAAGGATTTTTTTTACCCAAGCAATGTCTCTGAGAATCTGACACCTTGTACTTCTGGAGACTCCAGGAAGGATGCAGTTCTGGAAAATGGTGGCGCTGGAGACTAAATGGTTCTTAATTCTTTACATTAATTCTTAATTCTTTTGCAGTTAATGTGTCTTTTCTTCTCCATCTGTTGTTATCTGACCCTGCTGACCCACTGAGCATTTTTCTGACCAATGGTCATGTCTTAACTTTGCAATTTCTGTATTGCATTAGTTTTGAATATTTCTCATGGGGATTTAATCATTTTTGACTTTTCAGTCTGAGTTAAATCTCTTTTTTGGCTCATTTTATCTGTAAAAGAAGACGTGTCTAATAATACTGCACACCTGAATATAAGAAGTTTTTCACTTCCAGCCTTCTTGGACAATTATATATCACTCATGAATGATTAAATACAAAATTAATAGTATTTATTAAGATTGATGTGGTTTGGAGTTGGTAAAATGTGCTTGGAAAAAATTATGATCAGAATATCAATGCGCCTAATAATTATGCACGCACTGTAGACCACGCACACATTGAATTGTATGACCGATGCTATCCCTGTATTCTGGAGTATTGGCTACAGTGATTTAGCAATTGAACATCAGATGGGAAGATTTAGGATCGCGATAACTGCAAGGTTTGAAATGCTCTCAGCTAAAGAGTATAGATTTATGGAAAGACAGAAAGCTACAGCGGAGCCACACATTTACATGTAAACAGAAAACATTCCATGTCATATTAATGGAATAAACTGATTCAAATCACCTGCCTAATATCATGTGCTACCAAAACAGCTCTGATGTGTCGAGGCATGGATTCCTGTGGTGTCTGACACCAAGACATTAGCAGCAGATCCTTTAAGGTCTGGGGCCTCCATGGATCAGATTTGTTGTGTCAGCATAGATACTCAGTTGGACTGAGATCTGGGGAATTTGGAGGCCAAGGCAACACCTTGCACTTTTTGTCCTCAAACCATTCGTTAACATTTTCTGCAGTGTGGCAGGGTACATTATCCTGAGCCCACTGCCATCAGGAAACATCACTGCCGTGAAGAGTGAGCTGTGCAACATCAAAGTAACATTGATGCAGGACCCAAGGTTTCCCAAAAGAACATTGTCCAGAGCATGAGACTGCCTTCTTCCCATCCCGCATCCCGGTGCCATCTCTTCCCCAGGTAAATGATGCACAAAGCCATCCACCTGATGTAAAAGAAAACGTGATTCATCAGACCATGCGACTCTATGGTCCAGTTCTGACGCTCACATGCCCATTGTAGACACTTTCACCTTGGGCGCCTGATAACGGGTTCACCGGATCTCCTTCCTTGGTTGGTATTAATCACTGCATATCAAGAAACCCCACAAGACTTTGCATTTTAGAGATGCTCTGTCCCATTTGTTTAGCTGTCACTATTTGTCCCTCCTCAAAGTCACTCAGATATTTTTCTTGCTTCCTACACATGAAATTTAAGAAGTGACTGTTCACTTGCTGTCTAATACATCCCACCCCTTGACAGGTGTCATTGTAATGATATAATCACTGTTATTCACTTCCCCTGTCAGAGGTTTTAATCAGTGTATGTATGTCTGACAGATTTTTAACACCAGATGGCTCACACGATTAAATAATGTTCAGAAGCTGTGAACAGTATGAACAGTTTCTCGGAGAATTAACTCATGGGCATTTATTTATCGTGCACATTTTACATGTGAGAAAAAACAAGCAGATCGCAGACTTATAAGTGCATTACCGCCACCTATCTCTCAAAGAAGAAGAAGACGCGAGCGCGCTCAGGACAGTTCGGACACTGCGGTGAATCAGAGGTATAAAACTATATAAATACTGTTCAGTTTCTTGCACAGACCGATCGTTTTGTGTCTTTACACATCAATGTATCGTCACGAGCCGCAGGGTTTAATTTGGTTTTGTTTGTGTATGTTTCTTTTAACTCTCAAAAGCCGTGATTCCCATCCACTGACATTATAGGACTGACAGACTGCAACGGTTTGTGTTAAAAATCTTCGTTTGGGTGAGTCATGAAAAAAAAAAGGTAGTTATCTACTAAAAACAGATCATGTCATATGTCTAATCTAGAGCTTCTGAAGAGACATCTGAAACTGTGCTCAGATTTAAAAAATGACCAAAATTCAGAGATCTCAATATGAACAAAACATTTCTCATCAAACTCCCAAAACTAAATTATCCAGATTATCCACAATCCACATCTAATGTAATTTAGGATCCCATTGACTTTTATTGTATGGACAAATAAAAATACCTTGCACTGGGGGTAAGCAGATAAACATCATTTTTGGGTGAACTATCCCTTTAATTTTCTTTTACCTTTTTTTTTCCTAATTAAAACTTTCAAATCTTTCATTTTAATTTGGGGTGAAATATAACCCGGGCATCGACAAGTTGTTGACAAGTTTTCATGAGATTCTCCTGAGGTCAGTGATCAATTGTGAAGAAAATGTGCAAATAATGATGAAATAGTCTCTCAACGTTCATCTCAACACACTTCTGGGGCAGCGCTCTAGAGGTGAATATGGATGACGCTTGCAGGTCAGAGTGAAAGTTCAACTTCTCAGACTAGATCAAGGTCAGCATTGCCTTGGAGAGGTCAGCGGAGCAGGGAGTGTGTACGTCCCGTCTGTAATCCACTTCACGCTGCTGGTTTGTGGAGCTGTGATCCCCTCTTTTGTGAACCTAAACCCGGCGTAGGCCAGTGAGGGGAGGTCAATTTGACAGTGTAGAAACCCACCTGCGCAACTTTTTTCCACACACAGAATGCTGACACCAACGGTACGTGTACACACACACACACACACACAGCAGCCGGAACTGCGCACAAGTGCATCACACAGCACTAAACTGCCAGCTAAGGGTTACTAGAAAAGAGCAGGATAGAGGAGGCTAAAATAGGGTTAGTAAGAGTGAAGTTATAGCAAGACAACTAGAGCAAGATAAAGAGATTCCAAGTGTTTGGAAAGACTGTGTGGCTTAGGTTAAGTCACAAATCCATTTCATTTCATTAAACAACAAAACATTGAATGCTGCAGCTTTTCTCAGAGCTGACTTCATGTTTCTAAGCCTATAACTAAGTGCTATAACGTTTAACCAGCTGGTGTCCACATGATTTTAGTGGATGCATAAAGTCAGTTTTCCTCAAGTTCACACAGGTATGAAGAAGAACCACATTAACATGAAACACTAATGTTTGACAACCAGAAAGTGTCACAATACTTCATTTTGTCAGATATAAAATGTTTAGTCTTAATAACTATTCATTAATATTTAATCTTAAATATTAATGTTAATACATTAAATGTATACATTTTTACTACATTTACTATGTTTTTTAATACATAATTAAATAATACATTTATGAAATAATAGCTTTTTAGCTTTAAAACGGTGCTTGTGTTATCCTTGTGCCAAATAAATGCCACTTCAAATGATATTCATACATTCAAGTGTGGCTTATGCATCTAAATACATTATAGGGAACTCTATGCATTATTACATTTCATTTTTTGTTTCATTTTTGGATGTTGTAATTTTATTTTGTTCAACACTTTTGCACCAGTTCATGTTAGTTAAAAAGTAAACGTAATTGCAACTTTTTAATCTCACAATTCTGACTTTTTGCATGCAATTCTGAAAAACAAAAAGTCTGAATTGTAAGTCACAACTGCAAGAAAAAAGTCAGAGTTGTAAAAAGTCACCTTTTTGAAACAAGCTTCCAGTTGCATTAGTAATGTGCCTTAGAAGCAAACTCAAACGCAAAAATATGTACAGTTTTATAGGGTTCAAATGATAGAAAACTGCACAATCTGAATTCTTAACTCGAAAACACATTAAAGTCTCTGAAATGCTGGTTTCCAGTTACAGAGGATTTGTAAATTAAAGCAGTGACTACAGTATACTGCAAAAAATCAGACCCTGAAACAAGTTAAAGGCAAGTCATTTTTAAGTACATGGACTATTGTGTTTGTAGAGTAAAACGCCAATACTCAAAACTGCTATTATGTACATTTTTCAGGGTCATCACTAAAATTCAACAAGGCCCAAGACAATGCTTTCATAATATTTAGAAACTGTACAGAAAGAAGATTTTTATCAAATTAAACAGATACAGTAAGACTCTAAACATAACAAAATGAGCAGTTCCAGATATGTAAAGAGAGCAGGCCCAGCTGGGATAGACAGCAGTCTGAGCTGCACCAACACAACACAACAGCCTCTCTGCTCCACATAACACAGAACACTCCCACTCTGCCAGGCACAATTGTTAAAAACTGGTTTGTTTTCATGACGCTAATGGTGTGGAAACTTTTCTAAAATCACAGCTTCCGGATACCGGGAGACGTTTTTCTTTGTAAACTCCAAATATAGGTCACTCTAGAATAACTATTTAATGGCACACATAGACGATTCAGAATGTCAGTCAGTAAGCGATAAGCTGTTTCCTTACTAAAGGGAGTTTAACGTCCTGAAGAATATCCTCCATTGACATTCATTCGAAACACTAAAGCTGCGTCTGCATACTGTCTGAATAGGTAATGCATTAAATTTGGAACTATTTCCAAAAGCTATAATTAAGTACCACGTTTGAATGAGAACTTAGTGACCGTTAAAAAAACGAATGTAACATTAAAAACTACATTAAGAAAAACGAAACTATGTACAAGGCATACAGGGTAATTCATTCCAGATGTAAGTGTATGAATGAGTCATTGTATCATTCACTCAGCTGGTTTTGTATGGAAGGCCGTTTCCGTGGTTAAGGCTAGAAGAGATAGGCTACAGCAAAAACTATTGGGCATGTGCACATCAATATAGCGTAATTTTTCTCACACTGTACAACAATGACTGTTTTTGTATTATTATAAGGGGTAGGTTTAAGGTTGGGGTAGGTGTAGACGTTAATAAAACACAATCTAATAGGCAGAAAATGTAATTTATTCTTATTTTTGCTGCATTCCTTCTAGCCACAACCCGTTTCCGCCACTGAATAAAAAATTAAAGGTAATTGCGACTTTTTCTCTGACAATTCGGACATTTTTTTCTTCAATTATGATTTCACATCTCGCAATTCTGACTTTTTAGGAATTGCGTGATAAAAAGTTTTTTTCTCAGTATTGTTAGATATAAACTCGCAAATGCGAGTTATAAAGTCAAACTGCAAGATATAAAGTCAGAATTGCGAGATACAGTATAAACTCAATTCTGAGAAAAAAAAAGAATTTTGAGTTTTTAAATCACGCAATTCAGAGAAAAAAGTCTGAATTGTTAGATTATATAAGTCGCAATTACCAGTGGTAAAAACGGCCTTCCACATCATTGAAAACACTTCAGCATGTTCTTTAAGAAAAAAAAAAATGAGGTAAAGTATGAACTATAAATATGGACTATATAGTAGGGAAGTATTAAGACAGGGTAATTTACTCTGGATCAAAATGAATCCATGAGTCACTGAATTATTCATCAATTGGATCATTCAAAAGCACGGATTCGTTCAGATAATAATGTTGCATGGAGACACGCAACAATTCTCCTTTGACTTCAGTTGGAACTATTCTCGGTGCTGAAGAAAAATAGACAAACTGTGATTGTAAACATTGTGTACAAAATATAACTTGCTCAATATTATCTTATTTGTTGACTTATTGTATAAAAGCAAAATTACACCTGCAATAATGGGAATGCTTATGTTTGGAGTATTCTTGCTTATGCAATATTGCATAAACATAAAACTTCATTACCAGACACAATACAGTTCATAAACACATTAAAGAGACAAGTTTTCATCTACTAGATGTGGTTTTATTTCCGCTTACAGTACATTCTACAGATGCACGCGTGTTACATTACCTTGAAACAACATGGTCATTTAATGTCGCCTCTTAAAAACGATATATTGGTCCTAAAAATATAGAAAGGAACAAATTTAAAGTCACAAAAACTGTACATTATTAAAAATTCACTAGACACCACATTTGGTTGAGTTTTCTTGTACTATCTTCAGGTTTTACCGTCTGTAAAAAAAGAGAAGCAAATATGTCCCTTTTGTATGATGAGGAACACTGAGTGAATGACGCACTGCCTACTACGCGGATCGAGTTCAGTGTATGAAAACATGGCAAATGAACATGAATAGTGTGCTCTACTGCGCTCCTCTACTCAGTGCACTAAGAAAAATTAAGAACTAAGGGAATTCTTATGTGTCAGTTACACCAGTAATGATGCAAGGCATTTTCATTTGAGAAAGCATGGTTAGTCAAAAGACTAGTGTAAAAAAAAAAGGCCTTTTTAAGGGAGTTGGTCCAGGTTCAAACACACACACATCATTAAAACACATAAAACAGTCTAAACATCTGAGGATGTGGCGGTTTCAGAAACCCAACAAACTGCCATGTTCATGAAAACCAAGATCAAACCAGATCAATCATAATGAAGAGACAGCGAAGACATTGTTCCGATGAAAAATAAGTGTCGCTAAACAAAACTATACTGCCGTAAGTACGTACATATCCTTTCCATATAAACCAATATCAATACAGTCTAAAGTTTTTTTTTCCCCACAGACAATAGTCATACACCAAGCAAAAGCTTTGAAAACGGCTATCTAGCTAGCAGAGCTTAAAAACAAGAACGTTAAAACCGGCCTTTCGTTGCATCAGTTCTGCTGTTGGCTTTACGTCAGATTTCCATATGAACAAACACTGATTTCTTTCTGGGGGTTCGGGGGGGGCGTGACAGAAAAAATACCCTAGTAAAGGATGTCAATCCTCCAGTTTATAAGACCAATACTCTACAAGCAAAAGACGCGAGTTACACGTGATATAGTATGTTTACTGGCCATTTCATGAGTCACCTATACATCTTTCTACGACATGGTCTGTACAGATTCACTACAGTCTATTGCTATTAAATAATCCCGACTATTTTTTTTTTCTGTCTTTAAGTGTATATATAGCATATAATAAAAATATACTGAGGAAATTGCTTCTAGTCTCGAAAGCACGTTACATTTTCAATCAAGGGGACACGGGTGGTCCACGACCTATACATTATGGAGCAGAAGGCTTCGAGTAAAATGGCCGAAAAAGTGAGAACGTCCTGATAGAGGTGTGTCTGCGACACGTGACATCAAGTGTGACCCGATCAAGTCCTGAAGAAGTACTTCTACTCCGAAGGAGCTACGGACGAAGCTGAATAAAGAGGAGACGTTCCGTAATACCAGGTGATGAAGAAATGCTTTAAGCTTATCAAGGCGGGTGAGGGGGACAAACAGATACTTGTAAAACCAACAGAACAAATCTATACATATATCTACACGTGTATGCATACAGAAAGCTGGCTCTCCAGACAGAGTTTTTAGTAGTAATGAGCATCAAAGGGGCATGGCGTTCGAGTGCTTCCTCCCATGCAGCAGAGGGCAGCGTCTCTATTTGTCCTTGTTGTCGTAAAACTCCGCCCAGCGGCTCTCGAAGAAGCGCCGCATGGAGTGTCCGGCCTTGCCCACCTCCGACGTGTCCTCGTTGAAGAGCTGGCAGTTGTTGAAGACCAGCTGAGCGTCGGCAGCAAACTCCTCACAGCTGCAGTACCTGAGACACACGGGCGTAAACACAGACGCAGTCTTACACGCTAATCAGGTTATTCACGCCACCGCAAAGCCTGATCACCCAGATGCAATGTCAAATACAGATATAAAGTGTGACAAGAAATTTGAGCAGAAATTATTTTATTTTATTACTGGATTTACACGTTTTTTTATGTAAAAACGGCTTTTTGTACAATTTACATGTTTGCATACAATTTTTTTCTTGAGTGTTGATTATTATATCTAATAATAAATAGAAACTGAATTTAAAAGTTTAGTAAACTTGTGTAAACCTCTGTTCAATATAATTTATATCTATCCATTGATCTATACATCCCTCCTTCCGTGTGTGTGTGTGCATGTGTGTGTGTATATATATATATATATATATAAATTATATTGAACAGAGGTTTACAGAATAAAAATTGTGGCTCTCTTTAAATACATTCAATTATAATTAAAATTATAAGGAAAGGAAGGAAAGTATGTGAGGCCAAGTTTGGTGTCCCATACTTGGAATTTGCTCTGCATTTAACCCATCCAAGTGAACACACACAGTAGTGAACCCAGATGCAATGTCAAATACAGATATAAAGTGTGACAAATTATTTTGAAGTTTATTTTGTTGTGAAACATTTTTCAGGTTATAACATAACAATCGGTAACAACTAAGAACTCACATAAGATGAGGCATCAATTTTTAATCAAACGTAATCAATTTTTTAGTTAAAAAAAACATAAGTTTATGCAAGTAAAAATCTGTTAATTATATCTTTACAAGAGTTAAAATGTTAATTACTAAAATTACAAAAAATATTTAATAAATTATTATTATTACTTCTATCATTTTATCATTTAAGTAATTATATATATATATATATATATAAAGGGTCTCACCTCAGTCGTGGTATTGAAGGTGGAAGAGAGCGCTGGTTATTCACTCCCCCCACCTACAATCCCCGCCAGACCGGAGACTCGAACCCGTGACCTTTGGGTTACAAGTCTGACTCTCTAACCATCTAAGGATACAACCTATGCTAAATCTATGCTAATCTTGTACATACATGTATGTATGTATGTATTTTTTCCATTGTTACAGTTACAGAATTGGCTAATCCAATTACTGGTAAATTGAACTTAAACGTCTAACTTATAATTTAAGAACTTATAAATGCTTGTGAAAAAAAAAAAGAATAATAGTTATCAAATAAATTATAATTATATGAACAAATTCTAGTAAAAATAAATAATATTAAAAATATAAGTTAAATTAAAAAATATGAATAAAATAAAAAAAATGTATTAAAATGTATTAAAATTAAATAAAAAATGTAATCTAAACTATACTAAACACAATTTCTGGGTACAGTTCATGACTCAACACAGCTGTAATATTGAGGTCAGCCTTTATCCAGGCACATCGTCTCTTACCCTCCCTGCAGAAGTCTTTCCCTCATAGTGAGGAAGTCCATGGGGGTTTTGATGATGCGTCGGTAGCCAGGCACCAGGCGGGGATTGACCGGCTCCAGGAAAGGCCAGGCTTCTGAGTGAGCCTCCATTTCCATCAGAATGATCCTACAGCACATCAAACAGCTCGCTAATTATTCCATGACACACACTCATTATTCCACATAGTGAATTCATTTAGACTCGGCTCAGAGATGCACCAAAACGCATTTTCAAATCATGACAACAGATGGTTATATATATATCACTTCTGTTTATTTTTCGTCCAGGCAACCCACTAACATATAAAGTGCCACTTAAAAAACAATTCTAAATTTAATAATAAAAGCTATTAGCTCTTAATAAAAGCTTGTTGTATTTTGAAAGTACTGTTTTCCACAGGCCTGCAGACTCACTCGCAGTAGGTGAGGTCAGGCTGGTTTCGTGTGGCCATCCGTCTGCGTTTGGAGGGCGAGATGCTCGTCCCACTCGAGGAAGCTGCAGCGTCTTTTTGTCGTGTGGTCATGCCTCGTCTGTACCCATCATCCTCGTCTGAACTATCCTCTGCAAGACGCTTTTTCTGCACCTTTGATCTTTTCCGAGATGAGCGCTGCGATCTCGGAGATTCACCGCTTTCCTGCAAAATTCTGTTTCTTAGTTTATCTTATAAACACAGGCAAATACAGGCAAAGAAAAATATTCAATTCAAACATTAATATGAAAGAGATGGGGCAAAAACGGAAGCTAGATAGTTAAACATCTTGGTCACATTACCTTGGCAACGCAGGTGGGACAGAACCAGTCGCCTTCTGGCACCTGCATGACCTTTGGCCTCAGGCAGAACATGTGACAGCCACGATCACAGCCGTCACACAAGAGCAGGTACTCATCATCATCACCCTTACGGCACACCTGACACGTCTGTGGACACACCAACACCCGTTTAGACAAAACTAGAGCACGATGATTTTGATAATACATAACATCATGGAATTTGTCAAATTTTCAGTGTCTGTCTCAATGTATGATGAACACATGAACATCATCTTCAGAGCTGCTCTGAAAGTCCCTTCACGAGCATTTTATTATTTCATTTGAGAAAAACTATTAGAACTTAAAAGGTCTTCACGGCAACCCGTCAAAATAAAAGTTCGGTTTCACTTGAAGAAATTGTAACAAATATATTATTGTACAGTAAATGTACGTCTTAATTCTATAATAATAATAATAAATAAAATTATTATTAAAACTTGTTTTAAAAATAATCACAATTTTTCATCACTGTTTTTATCCTAACAGTAAACCTCTGTTGTCCAGTACTTCATTTGCCCCCCAAAAAAGGGTTTGTTTCATTAGATAAAAAGATACATTAAATTGTTTTATGTCTTCATTTGATTACCAGACAAATTAAAATAAACAACAATTTCTGGGAAAAAAAAGCTCAAATAAAAATCCAAAGGGCCCTATTAGTGTAGAAAATGTAATTGTTTGAATTGTATGAATTCAATTAAATACACATGCTTTTGGATCATTCAAATTTTAATTAAACCATTAAAATGGAATTCGGAAAAATTCAAAAATGGAAAACAGAATTTGGTAAAAAATAAAACAAAATTTGAGAAAAAATAAAACATTTCAAAGAGCCCTAAAAATGTCATTTTTGTTCAACTTTTATAAATTATTATTAAATTGTAAAAGTTTCATGATTTTAATAATTAGACATGGTTTTTGATTACTAAAATTTTATTTAACCATTAAAACAGAGACCAGAAAAATGAAAATAGGGGAAAAAATGGAATCCAGAAAAATTACAACAGAAAAAAATTTAACAATTCATAGAGCCCTAAAAACACATTCAACATACACTGAAATAAACATATTTATGGTTAGAGAACAACAATGCATATGCAATAGCCATTTCACTAACATCCACCATACTTAGTGAAAGACAGAAAACAGAAGATGTGGTTTCTCAAGACACCTATTTTAATGATATCTGTCAGGTATGTATATAAACAAAACTATGTGTAATTAGGGCTGGACAATAATTCAATATCAATATATATCGCAATATCATTTTTTTCAATAACGGTGATATGCTTTTTAAACACATTTCCGATATTTCGATATACATTACCAGTGTTTCCCATACATTGATTTATTTGTGGCGGACACAATATCGACACTGACGCCACAAATAGATTTTCCAAAAGGTTTTAGGACAGTTTGACTTTGTTGAATAAACATGAGCGCTGCACGTTTCAAAATCAAACCGCGGTGCGGGTGTTTTATATGAATGTATCTTTGAAGGGAACTGACTGTCTTCAGAAAAGTTTCCATGTCATTTTCATTATCTGATAAATCAGCGTTCATGAGCTCAGTGCTCCTTTGTTTACAGCCGTTACCGGGGAAACCGCTGGTTCTGCTGCTCTCAAAGCGCCTCCTGCTGGCAGAGAATCAGTTTGCATTTTCAATAAGCCCTTCTCCAGCAACATATGTTTTTGTTGTTGCTTTTTCTGTTTTCTGCAGCAACTCTGAGCACTTTTAATATTCTTTATCCTGGCTGAAGCACTTTTGTTTCAATCTATAAAAATAATCAGCCTGTGTTATAGTTTAAAGTTAAATTTATTAAAATTAATAAGGTGAGTCTGAAGGTCCTTGCACACTAAGTCCGAAATTTTGCGTATGCGTTTTTCATATTTGTCATCATTTCCTATCAAAATGCTTGCTACGGATGCAAAAGCGCAGAAAATCGAACCCGGTCCGTTTTTTTTTTTTATGACGAACGAAAATTTCGGAGGCATTGTGTAAACGTGATTGACACAACGTGACGTCGTATTTATTTTTCAAAGTGTGAAAATTTCGGTCGACGCAGTGTGCAATGGCCTTGAGAGTTTGTTTGATAGTGATTTCACATTTTTTGTTTATATGAAGGCTAAATACAAATAAAAAGTGAGCATTAATTTAATTGTACCGTTTTTATTTCTAAAATGTTATAGTTTTATAGGAGGAGGTTTCATAGACTTGGCAAATTCATTTTTCAGAAGTTTGTAGGCACAGACATCTTTTGTGGGTGTTCTTGGCAGTTTTTTTTAAATATTGTGACCGACTTTTTGACCGAAACTAAGAAATATATCGTGATATAAATTTAAATTTTTTAATTTTAAATATATTTTAAATACATTTTGGCCCTATGTGTAATATATAATAATGGTACAGGCTCTGAAGCGGAGTGAACGTGTGTGTGCTCTCACCACTTTGATGACGGATCTTTCCCAGGCGATGGCTTTCTCCAGCTGCAGCAGACAGAGAGAGAGTTGAGACGCATTGCGGCAGCGGTCCAGGGCCTGCCGCCACGTCCTCAACCTGGGTGTGATCTCACTTTCCAAGCTACAAAGACAAACAAACACATGACTGATATGCTCTAGAGTGCATATAATGTACTGTAGAATTTGGAACAATTCTTTGTTGAAAAATATGATTATTTTGAAAAGTGATGCTTTGGAGATAATTTTTCACTTTATTACCCAAAGACCCTAACTCTGACCCACCTCACAGCATCTAGTGGGACCTCCTCCCCGCCGGGCGGAGGGGTGAGAGGCGCCAAGCGCACCACCTCGGACAGGGTCCACAGTGGCTCCTTCAGATAACGGCGCTCGATGTTGCGCTCCAGATTAGTCAAGCGGAGGACGGCCAGGTCCAGGGGGTTGCTGGGAGCTCGCAGGAGGTCGGACCATTCCTTCTTGGTCTTGACTATCCAGTCGTCCTTGGGGTCAACCTCGTGCTCGTAATACTGCAGGTCATCCCGCGTGGAGTCCGCCTCGGGAGGGGTATACATCTGAAACCAGGACAAAAGTCCAAAGTGAATATTACAACAATTTTGATGTCAGATGTAACCTAGGGTAAACCAAAAACATAATTACTTAAAAAATAAAATAATAATACTTCTATTCTCTCTCTCTCTCTCTCTCTCTCACACTCACACTCACACACACATATTCAGTAGGGTTGCTGATAGACGGTGTTGACGGTTTTACCGGTGTGAAGCCACAACACCGGTTAAGTCACCACCATTGTTTTGATTTTTTATGGTAATAAAAATTATTTAGTTCAGTTAGAGAACAGACACTACAATTAAAACTGAATGTGGCTGCTCAATGCAGCGTGCCGAACGAAAGTCGCGTCACGGATCAGATTTCATTTATCACGTTAGGAGAAGCTGACAAGAAGATTGAGGTGAGACAGACAAGATGATGGCAGAAGAGTTTCCAAACGACATGCAAAAGCGCCCGTTTTAAAAATATGTTGGATTTTGAAAAGCCTGTTGACTTCTGCAATTTATCTAAGGTGATATTGGAAGTTTATTTATTTGGTTCCACAGTGTTTGCTGATTTTTATTTAAACTGTGTATTTTTTTTATTTTACATCAAGTATGCCATGTCTCCAAGCTTTCTTATTTGTTTTGCTAATAAACTTATGTTTCTTATTTATATGGTTACACAGTGTTTACTGATGTTCAGTTTTGTATACCTAAACTTTGTGTAAGTTATTTGTTAGTTTATATTAGGCATATAGCATTGTGTATTTTTATTAGTTTTGTTAATAAAAGTTCTATGTTCTATGTTGTATTTTGTTGTTGCTTGAATTGAATTCAAGCAATTGACGCCAGCTAAGCTATTTAAAAGCGAAGGAAAGTGAGGAAAAGAGGGAAAACTCAAACGAACTAAAAACAAAGAACTGCTTGACGCCAAATTGCCGAATAACGGTATTACCGGTGTTGTCACACGTCGATTAAACGGTGGGAAAATGTCCTCACCGTCACAACCCTAATATACGGAACAGAGAGTAAGCGAGAGAATTTATATACACACACATACATACAGCGGGTAAAATAAGTATTGAACACCTCACCATGTATTTCTAAAGATGCTGTTCACATGAAATTTTCCCCAGACGTCGATAACATTTTTGATTTTAATAATTAAACAACAGTTTGAATAATTTTATATAATTACTGTAATAATAATATAATTAAATAATACACCTTTACCCTAATATTCCCTTTTTAAGAGTTTAAATAATCAGCAATAATGAATAATGAAATTAAATAATGAAATATATTAACACGGGTTTAAATGTTAATTACTATAACTATTTATTAGTTAGAATAAATATTAACAATTTGCATACATAAATTTTCATTATCGCATTAGTTTAAGATATATTTCTTTTCTCATAAGTAATAATTTATTGAATGCATTTAATTACATTTTTATTATTATGTATAATTTTTTTTATTTAATATATTAGAAATAATTTATTGACTGTATAGTGAAGAGAGAAAACCAGGGGAAATGCAATCCGGAATTGATGTCAGACATAGTCGTGAACAAACCACAACGCTGACAATTTACTGAAACTCTGTTTATATGGTATGTGTTTTTGCTCTGTAAAATCTGTAAAAAAAACATTACTGAAGCTTATGAATATAGGCATATCGAAATAATGAGTACAATATTAAATATATATATATATATATATATATATAGAGAGAGAGCTTGCATCTCACGACTATGTCGTGTATGAAATAATGTCTGTGTGCATGCGTGTAAAACAACAAACTCTGACGATTTATATATAATCATTTGTAATTGTATATACATTGTTGTGATTAATTGTGGCTGGAACAATAATGTAGCTGTAAAAATAGTTTCCTGCTGAAATTGAAATGTATATACATCTTTTCAATGACTAGATAGACACGGTGAGTTTGTGTTTACTATACATGTTAGATGTGATCCACCTCATAGTAACAATCCTGTCAGATCGTCCATCCTTTGAGTGAGAGTGTAACGTTACAGGTCGGCCGATCTGGTTTCGTGGTTAAAGTTAACCTTTTCGACATGTTTCCGTGTTGTTGTTGCTCAGCAATGGCATGGACTCGATGTTGTCTGGGGGTTTGGCAAAAGGAGAGTGGGACGGTGGGCGGTGCTCGGGGTGGTGACTGAAGGCGGTGACTGTGTAGTTCTGACGTCAACTTTTTACAGGAGTCACAATGGTTCGTGAAAAATCACAGCTACTTTATGCAGGCTGTGTGCATTTTACTGTGGACTGACTGTTTTGAAACTTATATGGTAGTTAAATAGCCCCTAGACCTCAGTTATCGTGAAAAGAAGCCAGGAAATTTCAGTTTTGACAATATGGGACCTTTAATTTAAGCACTCTGAGCAACTCATCAGGTTGTGTCACATTCATTATGAGTAACTCAATGAGCGGTTTCCTCTACTTATTAGGATTAATAGTCTCAAAACAGAGCACTTGAGTGTGTGGTTTTCACTACCTGAAATTGAGAGCTTGATGATTCCTGACTAGCCTCACTTTCACTCTCCGCATTGGGAAAGGCCACCTGGAGAGAAAGATTGTGGACATGGTGATGAAGTGAGCGTGCTTGTGTGCAGTACATACAGCACAAACAGTGTCACCCTGTGGTCACAAATGGAGCAAGACCTTACAGTACAGTGATTACTTCAATAAAAGAAAAAGTGGCTTTTGAATCTGCTTAACAGGCTTTCTTTACCTTGAATTGAAGGTCTGCACCGACCACCCTCTGCTCCAGATCTTCCACGCACTGGAGCACATTGATGTCTAACTGCAGGACTCTCTCCTGCTCACTCCACGCCTGTTTAGACACCTCCAGCAGGGCATGGCCGTCCTCCACCGTCATCTGGAAGATGGGATCTGGGAGGAAACGATGGAAAACAACGCAATAAACATGCTGCTGTCCACCAACTCCTGCAGTCCCTCTGTATGTGCTGCTGCTCCTCACCGCTGACGGGCCGCGTGCAGACCTCAGACATATACTCCATGTGTTTGGCGAGGTGCTTGTGGAGCACTTTCTCACGAATGCCTCGAGGATGGAGGGCGCTCAGAATGGCTGTCAGCTCCTCCGGTTCTTTGATCCACCACCAGCCCTTCACCATTTCTGTAGGACAGAAAGACATGAAGCCAATTAACACTGCTCTGCTGGAAACCAAGAGCTTTAGGATGTCATTCAAGATACACAAATAACAGTTTTCTTGGTGCGTAAACAGTATTTATATATGCAAATGAAGTAATGAATATTATGTAGTAAATATTTTCTCTGCATTGTACCAGAAGAGCATCACAAATAAAACACTAAGCTTAGCATTAAGATAAAACTCTTCATATGGGATTTGATTCTGCTCAAATCTGTAAGGCATTGCTGAAGCTTATGAATATAGGAATTATAAAGCCATTATGTTTTTTCCTAAACAGACCGTTTATTTCTAATGAACTCAAATTTTATGAAAGTTTATTCTTATGAACTCAAGGTTATGAAATATTTTGAAGAAATAAATCGGTTCAGTAATTTGAATTGAAATGAACATATCAAACTTATAATTGAATTAGAATATAATTATTCTATGATTTATTATTATTTATTATTTTATTTTATTTTATTTTTTACAGAAAATTACTTTAAAAATGTTACAGAATTTTTAAAGATTAGGGCAAGCATTTTTTTTTAATAATATATCATTTAGATATTATTATTCAGCATTGTTTTTATACTACTAAATTTTTTATAATAGTTTTTATATATATATATATTTTTTTTTCAGCTGAAACAAGTTTCGAGTTTCTCACCTAATATATATGAATGGTAAGATTCACCGATTCGCATCGGCATAAAAGTTAACAATGCGATGCATCGATTTAAAAAAGTGTGCATCGGATACAAGTTGCATGTACCAGTACAAGTCACAAAGCATTGTTTCTTACATATTTGCATTGGTAAAAAACGATTTATTTATATAGAATTATTAGTAGATGCACTATACTTTTATTATTTAGAAAGTGACCAATAATTTGTGACCAGTATTTTATATGAAGATTAGTTTTTTCCTCTTTAAACTGTTTCTCAAGCGCATTCTCTCTTCTCCACTGCTGCTACATGAATATGACGTATCACAAAACTACGGAGACCGAGGCGTGTCCTGAGAGTCACATAGAATATAGATTAACATGGCAGAGGTACAGCTGCATCTTCCACCAAATAATTACAAAGAAATAAAAGCGAACTATCTGTACCATATTGAATTGCATAGCATCATATTTTTTTCATTGCATCTTTTTTCTTTGAATCGCATTGTGTTGAATCGAAATCGGATCACACTGCATCGTAATAGGGGTGCATCGCATCAGTAGCTGCTTCATATGTATGTTTAATGTATCGTATTGTTGGCTATGCATCAAGATGCATATCGCATCAGCCTCAGTTATGAGATGCACATCCCTAATATATATATGCATATTTTTTTCCAAATAGTTTTAGTTTTAACTTACAATAATATCTTTTATAATTTAATTTATTTTAATAAATATTTTAATATCTAACCATGTTAAGTGTTTTATTTTTATTTTTTTTAATTAATGAGATTAACTTAAAATAACAAATTATTAGCTTCCCTCACAAACTCCCAAGAGTTCACAAACCACAGTTTGGGAAACTCTGGGTTCGATAAAGTTGCCTTGGCTTGGTGACATATTTAAACTAAACATAATAAACATCCATCCAATTCCTAGGCTCAGGATTTCAGAGAAAACTAACCGGTCAAGTTGACAAGGCTTCGAAAAACTGAAGTAATCTAAGAACGCAAGATGGCCAAAAACATATTCCACCCTAATTGTCAAGTCCAGCATAAGTCCTGTAACATCACAGCACTCACCTAACGGAATAGGCTTCACCACCAGCTGAGTGAAGTACTTCAGTTCAACCTCTTGGAAGAGATTGGAGGGAGGTCTGCCACGCCTCTTCGCCGCACTGGAGCGAGCGTGAGCTCGGGACGGCCCACTGCCTCTCCTGCGCCTCCTACCGGCCCTGGGAGCCGGAGTGGAGCACACCTTAGGAAGAGGAAGAGGAGCAGCTTCCGTCTGCATCTGCGGTTAGGAACAAAGAGGGTAGCGATCAGAAGGATAAAAATTCGGCATTCAGAATATTCAAAAACTTTCTGATGTGTGACCCTGGAGCACAAAACCAGTCATAAGCAGCACGGGTATATTTGTAGCAATAGCCAACAGCACATTGTATGGGTCAAAATTATAAATTTTTCTTTTATGCCAAAAATCATTAGGATATTAAGTAAAGATCATGTTCCATGAAGATATTTTGTAAATTTCCTACCGTAAATATATAAAAACTTAATTTTTAATTAGTAATATGCATTGCTAAGAACTTCATTTGGACAACTTTAAAGCTAGATTTCTTTTGCACCACCCCCCCCGTTATATATTCGGCATAAATCAGTATTAATATCCAATTTCAAAATATTGACCCTTATGACTGGTTTTGTGGTCCAAGGTCACATCTTCTTAAAGGGTGAACCTGTGCTGTCGGAGGCTGTAGTGGAGGAGGAGCGAGCGGGTTACTATCGAGGGGTGCTGGAGTGTCTTCAGTGGGGGATGAAGCAGGCGCAGGTGTGTTCTCGCACGGCTGGGAGATCGACGTCTCGTCGCACGGCTCCTTGGGCAGCAGATTGAACCACTGGCCTCTTTTCTCTGCCTGCTCCCTCATGCTGTCCTCCGGCTGGCTGTTATCCTCGCCCTGTCCGGCTCCAGACGCTGCGATCGGCGCGCTGCTGTCGGCCTCTGCGTCCTGCGGCTGCTCGAGAGGCGTCTGGAAAGCAGGCTGAGTGGGATCCTGCACAGGAGAGTTGAGAGTCGAATCCTCAGCTGCTGATCTGCTGCTACGGCGGCGCCGCCGGTTCTTGGCGGTTCGCAGGTGGAGCTCCACTTCGGGTTTGATCTTGCGCGGGCGACCCCGTCCTCGAGGGCTGCTCATCAGAGAGGCCTCGCCGGGTAGAGGATCCGCCTCTGTGGGGGAAAGCTGGGACGCTCGAGGAGAAGAGGGGAGAGATGCAGTGAAAGCCGGAGAGAGGGGAGGCTCAGCTTTAACCTCAGTCTTCACTGGAGTTATGACCTTCACATAAGTCACAGGTTCATCGCTGACGGTCACTTCATCTGAGGCTGAACACAAGCAACTGGTCATTAATATCGGTAACAAGTAGGACAGCACAATAATATTCGCACATGATGAAAATCAGAAAGCCATAAAGTATTGTAATTTACAAATATTTTACTTTTACAGTCGTAACAATTTTTTTTATTTGACAGTGAAATATTACAAGTCATATTTCTTTTGTTTTATTTTTTTGATTTTTATTTAGTACTATGACAACTACTGCTACTAATTATTATTATTATTATTATTACGATTAATATTATTATTTCACAAAATTTGTGCAGCCCAACAATTTTTAAAAAATTGCATTTTAATTTAAACATTAAGATTGGTAACAAGTAGGGCTGCACAATTAAGTCTTAAAATTAAGAAATTAAGAACGAACAATATATATATATTAATACTGTTGTATAAAAATTACTATTTTTCTTAATTTCTTACATATTTTATTTTACAGGGAAATATTACAATAGCAATGTTTCTTAATTTATGTAGTTAATTTGGTAATACTACTATTAATGACAATAATAATAATAATAATAATTATTATTATTATTATTATTATTATTACTATAACAAAAATAACAATTATTATTGTTGTTGTTAATTATTTTATAGCCATATTAATACATAAAATCACAAAAAAAATTTATGCAGCCATACAAACAAGTACAGAAAAACTGGATTTTTTTTTATTGCAATTAAAATAGGCAGAAAAAAAAACTATTAGATTTTTTTTTCTTTCCCAAATCATGCAGTAACAAGAATACCAAGAAAAAAATGAAACGTAGGAATCATTAGGCACAAATCTGGTTATGATTCAGGCAATCAAAATCAGATTCACCATGCTCGCAAATGTTTGAATGGCACTTATCTTTAATGCTTTGTCCTGCATATGATTGTATAATAGCCAAAAAAAAAAAGTGAGAACAGAATCGTGATTAATCTGTGACTCCACAGCCTGATTGTCTATGTGACATTACGTCATGTACAGACTCTGAGGGGGATCGTAAAGGCCTAAATCTCAAAAGTGTGCGAGCTACCAGACTAACTGCATGCTGGGAGTTTCCACTCACCCAGGATATCCTCTGCTCCCTCCACGAGGACACATCCCATATAAGGCAGCAGCAAGTACCTGCGGCGGTAGCGATCCTGCCCCAGAGACACCGCCCGCATAGAATGAGACGACTGCTGCAGCTTCTTGCGGAAAAACACTTGCCGCTGTGAGACAGAAGCAAACATTGTTACTCGGCCAACAGCCTTCACATTTAACAAAGGTTTGAAATGAATGAAGTTTGTTTCACATGATTCTAAAAACCTTTTGAAGCTGCTTTGCAATCTGTATTGTATAAAGTGTCATGTAAATAAATGTGACTTAACTGGTGCCTTAACCGAAGAAAAAAAAGATGAAATACTAATCATTCCAGCAGCCAAAAAATAGTTATGTATTCATTTCTTTACAAAAATAAATACGGTTTTAACTATCTGGACAATGGAAAATCAGTGGACATTTCAATGAAAAATAATTAGGTGTGTGCAAACTTTTGACTAGTGATGCAATGAAATCAAATTCATAACCAAAATCTAAACTTCAGGACTCACTGGAACTAAACCCACAAATCCTCATCTTAAATCAGCTTTTTTGGAGTAACTATCAATTCTATTCTAATCAGTTCTAATATTATTAATATATTTAAGTGAATACACCAACTTGGTGTAACTTCACAATAACATATATGCTCTAAATAATTTCCAAACAAGTATAGACGAACTGTATAGAATAAACAGTGTTATTATACATGTGTCAGTGTTAATCAAATTTAATTAAAAAAAATTCTGAATCTCAAAAATGTCCTTTTCATCAGCTGAGATTTTGGTGGATCCATACCTACATCAGTTATTAAATATAGATATTTTACCTTGGTCAGTTTATCAATCTGACGCTCCAGCTCAGCGACACTGCAGGTATTGGGACTCTCAATCTATGAGAAAACAAAACAAACATAAAATATTTACTAGTGCTGCCAAACGATTAATCGCATCCAAAATAAAAGTTTTTGTTTACATAATATATGTTTGTGTACAGTGTATATTTATTATGTATATATAAATACACACAAATGCATGTATATATTTAAGAACAATATTTTACGTTTATATATTAAATATATTTATATATGATATAATTTATATGAATATAAATATATACATGCAAATAAATGTAAATACTTTCAAAATATATGCTGTATGTGTGTGTCTTTATATATATATAATAAATATACACAGTACACACACACATATGTAAACAAAAACTTATTTTGGATGCGATTCATCGCGATTAATCGTTTGACAGCACTAATATTAACACATAGGTAACAAAACAGTTAAACCAGGAAACCCCTTTGAACAACCTTTTTAAAATTCTTGAAGTAACCAGACATTTATTATTTAGCAACACATTTTCATGTTCGCGTCTCTGGTGTTGGCTAAGGGTACCATGACATTCAGATAAACAATATTTTTCTGTTTTATTCAGAATTTTTTTAATATTTATCTGAATTTTTTCATTATGATTCAATTAATTATAAGCTTTTCATTACTTCACGAACCCCCTGCAGTTCCCTCATGAATCCCAGTTTGGGAAACCATCAATTAAGCTCCGAAACTGAAGTGACTCATTTTTGATAGTCTCACATAATCACATTTGAGGTCAAAGGAAGTCGAGATACAGCCCGTTTCCCTGAACTGACAGCTCTCACTCAGGAAATCTTTAGTAGATGGCTGTTCTTGATTAATTACATCATTTCACATCTTCAGAGTAGCTGCTGTCAGTACACAGTGTCTCTTTTATGAAGCAATTTTGACTATGGCACATAGCTTGACTATGTGGCTGTGAATATAGCTTTAACCCACTGACATGTACTGCTCTAAATAATAAAATACTGCTCCATAAGCGCAGCTCTGGTTTGGCAGAGGTCCTGTACCTCCGTGTGTTTGGGTTCCTCTTTGGCTTTTCGGCGGCTGCCTCTCTCCAGCACGGAGCTCTCCTCGATGCTCTCCTCCTCGGCCACTCCCCCACGAGCACTACGCCGGCGCTCCTCGAAGCACAGCTCCTCCTCCGGACGGCCCGTCTTACGCATCAGCGCAGCCTTCAGTCTGCTCAGACACACACTTTTATGAGAATGACGAAGCCAGTCACAGAAGAGCTGCTTCACACCTGGTCCAAACCCTCCTCCCACATGCAGGATTATTTTAGTGTCTGAACCACAGTACTTTTGAGTCATTGATGTGAGTAACTAGATTCAGAAAGAAATAATCCAAGCCATTATCTTTGTGAGTAAAATCTAGTGATCATCCAATATATTGTCAAGGCCGATAGTTTGCCTCTTTTTTTTTTCTTTTTTTTTTTAATTACCAGCATCAGCCAATAATTTTTTCTGTTCAGCCAATACGTCGAAACGACTTTTATCTTGACAGTATCTAATAAATGTCAACAACTACACATTTCAGAGAATCTCACAGCTAAGGCTACGTCCACACGAAGCCAGAGCTTTCCCTATCCAATCTTTTTTTTCTCCTCGTCTCAAGAAATATCTGCGTCCACACGAAACCACGAAACCGACACAAAACGCTGTAGTATACATGCCAGACCAGCATGTGGCGCTGTAATTCTGCCACAGAGATACACTAAAAACGGAGAAGAAGACTTGGACTATGCGCATAAACCTTGCGCGCGGTATACAAACGAACATGGAACAATACATGTATTAATCTGTGTTAATGTTAGTTAATAAAAAGACAATCGTTCAGTGTTTGTTCATGTTTTTGTGTCTGACTAGGGGCGAGACGTGGCCTGATGACGTCATCGTTTCAGAAAATATACGGATTCGCTGTCCACACGAAAACGCAAGGGCGGCGTTTTCAGATTTATCCGCTCTGGGACCCGGTTTCAAGAAATATCGGTTTCACTCTCCCAAAACGCCGGATCAGTGTGGACGAAACGCCTATACGATACAAAATTTATGCGTATACAGCTAAACGCGTCTCCGTGTGGACGGGGCCTAAATTTGACAAATTTTAAATCTTTTATATCAAGTTTGCCGCTATGTTGTATTCATGTCATATTCACTATGTGCAATAAGTCAAATAAGTGCAATAAGTGTTACCTTGTCTTTATTTGAATAAAATATGACTCCCATTGCACAAAGACTTGCCAATTTCCTGAATGCATGTCGGTTACAGTGTTCACTTTTTATTCATATTTTTAACAATTTCTTTATTTGTGAGAAATTCTATATCGGAATTACACAATCAAGAAGCTGCCATCTAAATAAATCTCTATTTTAAAGATTTATATTTTATCATCAAGTTAAATTTTTTAATTTAAATATATGTAAAATAAACTAATTTAATTTCAGCAATTGCTATGCATGTATACCGTGTGTATACACACACACACACACACACACACACAATAGGGTCATGCAGAATAAGGCATTAATATATGCTTTATAAGTACTAATAAACAGCTTATGCTAGTAACAGCTTATGCATGCTAATTATCAGCTAGTTAATAGTAAGAACTAGTACCTAAAGTGTTGCCCAAATTTTGATCTCAAACAGACTGGTTCACACCATAAGCTGTCAGGATAAGAAGCAGGGGTCTTACTTGCGTAGCTTGCCTTCTATAATCCACTTGTTTTTCCTGTAGGTTGTCATATTCTCTAGCGTGTTATCAATCTCCCTGCAGAAACAGAACGGTTGGAAAATGACGTTTACATATGCGGATCTACAAAACTCTTTTCAAATATGATGATAATATGATTTGAATTCCTGCTGACCTGGTGATTATGTTGCTGGCGTTGAGTTCCTCCACCAGGAAGGCCAGTATGGAGGCTTTGACGTCGGGTTTGAGGGTCTGGAAGCTCTTTGTACGCAGACTGTTACACACCTCCAACTCAAAGCCATGGGCTTCCAGAAAGATCCGCAGCACCTCGGACACAGTGCTGTGGCTCAGCTCCAGATCCACCAGCTTCTCCCCCAGGATCTTCACAGACTGAGTAAGGAAAGAGAAACAAACCAACCTTCATTAACTCACTGACCAATCACGTGCCTTGAATTTAGGGTGAAACCCATCCTACATTATTTCCCACTGAATATTCAATGTTAACATATAATAAGACTTCAAAATATTTAAGTTTAATGTGCTGTGGGTGTGGTTTCTTGTTGGTTTTTAAGGCTGTTTTCCATTAATGTTTAGTTATTTTAGTTAGGGTTAGTTATTAAGTAATTACTTAGTTATTAAGTAATTTCTGTCCAAGTTCAAAGTTGTTTTAGACGGCAACAGATGAGATTTAGACTTTTTTGACACTGTTATAAATAGAAAACAACTTAATTCACTGATATTAGGGCTGGGACAATAAATCAATGCATTGCGAATCGAGAAATGATTCTGAGATTTTCCGAATGCATTGTGATTGATTTATTGTCCCAGGCCTAAATGATATGACTCAAAAGATAAACCTGGTAATATGAGGGCAGTCCAGGATCGTGCAGAGCGGCCTCCACCAGTTTAATGAGCAGATCCAGGAGCTCGCCTTGGCTCTTCTCCATGCCGAGGAGCCCTTCCTGCAGGGCGCTCAAGCTGGGAATATCCTTGGGCACCTGGAGCCCCAGAATCTTTCCGTAACCATGCAGGAACTCAACCACCCTTAAACAATTGGAGAAGGCCAAACCCGAAAGCACCAGTCCTGGTATCCGTGTCAATTGTGGGAGGGGCTACAGAGGGAGAGAGACGACAACTCAATGAGTAATGGAATAAACCATCCCAGATAAGACAGCACACTTTAATTATCCAACATTCAGTGACACACTCAGAAAAAAAAAAACTGTAGTAGACGAGTATAAGTCCCTCAAATGAAAGTATTATCAACAGTATGTATTATTGGTGTGTGTCAACTGGTGTGGAGTGGCAGAGTTGAGCACCAATAAATGTAGTATACTTTGAAAATGTTTTATTTTTTTTTCAGCTGTAGGCACACGCGAATCGTGTCAAACAACATCTCTTTTAGTGTGGGAAGACAAATCACATGATTCTGTAAATGTATCATATTACTCTGGTTATTATGACACTGTGTTAAACAATGGCAGTTACTGATTTTGTGAATAACACTGGCTTGGTGATACTTCAAATGGAAAACTTAACCCAACAAATTCACAAAAGGTATCAAAGTGGCTTCTAAAGTAAACTTTGCCAAATGAGGAAACTTCCGTATAGGGCTGTCACTATCGATTTTTTTTTTAATCGAGTAATCAAGACGATTATTCTATCGATTAATCGAGTAGTCGGACAATTATAATTATTTTTGTTAGTAGTAATAAAAACAGACCTAAGCAAACAATAGCCTTTAAAATACAATAGCCTCTACTTAAAATACATATACTATAATAGCAATGAGGCAATGTAACATTACATTACGCATTATAACAAATGCCTGCAGAGGGCACCAATGGCCTGACGATTATTTTTACACTTTACTGCACGATCTAATCCTTGTTTAATATTGACTAAACAACATTTAATTCAAATGTCCACTAAATTTGTAATATTTGGCCATTTCTTTACGACGTGCATTCTTTGAAATGCTACAGTCACAGTTTAAGACGCTCAACACATAAATGAAAACAGTTTGTGTGGAGCAGCATTTACTGTGAACGGAGCTCCTCTGAGATGCACTTATGTAAACTACACGCATGTAAATAATAAAAGTGCATATATTAAACCTGCATCACATATATTTATTTAACTGAATCATAGTGTTTGTGAATTCACAATAGCATTTTGCTTTATTATGATTTTTAAATGGGTTTAACATATCATGCAGCCTTGGAAAATGGTCTAATAATGCATTTCATAGATTTTCATCCATGAAATGTGCCACTTCTGGTATATTGCCGGTTACTCGACATGGCAAAATGCAATTTTTTGAAAATCGAGTACTCGATTCAAGGATTTGTGACCGCCCTACTTGTGTAGTCCGTGTGAATCCCTCAGCACATCAGGCTCACCGTGTGGTCGGGGAGACACATGTCCTCTGCAGGCTTCTTCATCTCCTCTAAGATGATCTGCTGTCTCTTCCTCTCCTCCATTCGTCTCCGAGCCTGCGCCCTCCGCTCCGCCTGCCTCTTTGCTGCCAGTGCAGCCTGCGCTTCGGCCTCCGCTTGAGCCTGGGCTTTGGCCAGAGCCTTGGCTTTGCTGCGGGCCCGGGCCACTTTCTTGATGGGACTGGCCTTCTCCAGGTCCAACGCCTCTGCTGCAGGTGGTGCTGTGACCTTCTTCCTGCGGCCGGGCTTCTTGGGTCCCTCTGCGGCTGAGAGAGGGCTTTCAGATGCCTGGCTCTGAGTCTGAGACTGGTCTTCATTATCCTGTTCCTGCTCTTTGGCTTTCTCCAGCTGCACAAACACATCAGAAAACACAGTCAGAGCTCAGAACACTGGGATTTACAGCTATTAAATTAAAATTATGTGTATATCAGGGGTTCTTACACCTTCAGACCATTTTGATGACTTTTCCACTTAGCTCAACTTTTTACTTCAAAGATCCACTTTGTCAAAGACGATATTTAAAGGCCTTTATTCTGATATACTATTCATTTACAGAAACCAGGAGTGGCAAAATGTTAAAAATAATGACAAAATAATTATAATTTAAAATGAAATTTCATAATTACAATAACTGAATGTTCTTCATGGTTTACACTTTTTATAACATGAATTTACATGACTTTTATAGCTTGTGACTACAGGTTTTAAAATTATTTTTTACTTATAAATAGCCATTTCTAACCAGTAATATAAATATAGCTTTATAAAAAATTAAAATGCATTACATTTCATGACTTTTCCAGGTCTATATGTAAAATATACAGCTAAAATTCCAGATTGTCCAAGATCATTAGACCTCTGGTTGTTAAATAAAAAAAGACAGTTGTTAAGAGAACAAATTAAAATAAGAAATAGGATTGCAACTTGCATCTGGATTTTTAGCTGTTTTAGTTTTTTTTAACCATTGTTTTTCATATTAAATTAAAATTTAAATATTAAATTTTTTTTAAAGCATTAAAGAAAAACATTATTCAAATTTATAACTGATTACAAAGCGTACTTAGGAAACATTTAACAGGTGCTACATATATATATTATCATTATTCTTTTTTTTTTTGCATTTAAATGCATGATCTTTCAGATTGTTCAGGTTTTTCATCATCATGAACCCTGTTATTAAGTTCTGAACATATTTGAAGACATGGAGTTTCTTACTTTGGCTTTCCGTTTCTCCTGCCGGATCTTTTTATTCTTTGCATCCTCTTTTCTTTTCATTCTTGCCTGCATGACAAAAATCAGATGATCAGCTGGTCCCCAAAACACACTTTTTGTAATAAATAACAAGTCAGCTCACCTTTCTCTTCATTTTCTTCTTGATCTTAACCAGTTTTTCTTTTTCTTCCTCTGTGAGATCCTCTGTAAAACAATGAACATGAACTGAGCTAAGATGCACATTATATTTCACATAAAAAGCTAGAACTACAAAATGATGAAAAATAAAAAGGTGGTACTTCTGCAACAAGCACATTTTTACTAAACCACCTGATCTGCATATTCAGACTCACCCTTTGCCTCCAGTCTCTTCAGCAGCCTGGCGTCCACTTTGCTGAGCAGATCCTCCATCTTGGGCTTGGGAGGTCGGCCTGGCCGTCTACCTGGGGCTCCTCTGGCTCGGCGGCCACGGGAACGAGGCTCTTTGTCTGGATTTGGTGGACGACCACGTCTGCCTGTTATAGCCATGATCATGGAGGGCACTTCCTCATTGGCGAGGAGGAACCATTTCATACCCTGTAACAAATTAAAAAGCAATGACATGCCTTGCAACATTGTAACTGTCCTGAATCCACAGACCACATGTTTGCCTGTAGCACCTGTAGACATCTTCATACACACCTCAGGGGTTTCCCGCTCCTCATAGAAATCACCCACTGGCATGCGTGGACTGAAGCTGAAGTGCTCTCTCGAAACGCCCTGGAGAGCATCCTGATGCCTCTTCAGAAACTGGAGAATGCAGAGAGACAAAAGCAACTGGATGAAGACAAGCCTTGTTATCACTCACGCAGATTAGGTTACAGTAGTATTGTGGGTGATCATCTGGTGTGCTAGTATAACCGATCTCACCTTGATGACCTCGGGGAACTGCTTCATCCTCCGGCCGCAGGGGCTATAGTACCACGTCTCTCCTTTCAGGCGGTCCTCGAGCCTCCGGACTCGAATCTCTCGCCTCCAGCTAGCAAATGGGAAACACAGCACGTGAAACAGGATGCCATACCAGTGAATTTCCATGACAACAATGCCTCCTTTTTACCCGCGCGCTCACCTTTGAACCAGCGCATGCGCTAACCTCATTTTTAACCCGGAAGAACCTTCTTTCATGTGAACAGAGTAGGGAGGAAATAACATGCTAACAACCTCCCTATACTTTAAACAAAAAAAAACAAAGAAAATATAAATTAAAAAAACATACAAAACAAAGATTAGTTACCAAAAAAATTCCGATTGAAAGTATAGAGTCTTTTCAAATGAATCTCTTTCCTCTCTTTTTTTTTTTTAATTAATAAGTGTCCCCAGTCCTTAACTAAGTGCTTTCAATAACATCAGGGCCGACGCTCCTTTTTTTGTAAGACAGTCAGCGAGTTGAGTTTTTGTGTCCGACCAGAGTACCTTCTTGATTCTTTTACTCTGTATGAGCTCCTTTATGCTGCTTATTTCCAGTCGAAGACGTTTCTCAGAGACCTGTTTTGTTGACTTAAGGGCATCAAACAGAGAGTGGTTGTCTGTCACACAGATCAACGGAGGAGTATTCAGCTCAGCAGTTCCAGTAGTAAGTTCAGAAAAGAGAGTAGTCAGAAAAATGGCATTATCTATTCCATCTGACAGGGCCAGAGTTTCCCCTGCCAGAGTACTCCTCACCACACGTCTAATTTTCTTAGATTGCCAACAGAGAGGAGAAAACTTCCCTCCTTCTCCCCTGAGACCAATCAATGTCCCCCCCTGTGTGCCCCCATCAGGGAGATCTCCAAGGGAAGCACCACAAAGTTTAGAGCATCACTGTTTCCCAAATGTTGAAACCTGAGAGTCACCTTTTCAGATTTAAGCTTTCTAATGACCTTATTTGTCTCGTGAATAGACTGGATTGTAGCATACTTTATATTTGATGCTAAACTGCATACATCAAACATAATGTCTAGCCAGAGTACCTTCTTGATTCTTTTACTCCGTATGAGCTCCTTTATGCTGCTTATTTCCAGTCGAAGACATTTCTCAGAGACCTGTTTTGTTGACTTAAGGGCATCAAACAGAGAGTCTGTCACACAGATCAACGGAGGAGTATTCAGCTCAGCATTTCCAGTAGTAAGTTCAGAAAAGAGAGTAGTCAGAAAAATGGCATTATCTATTCCATCTGACAGGGCCAGAGTTTCCCCTGCCAGAGTACTCCTCACCACACGTCTAATTTTCTTAGATTGCCAACAGAGAGGAGAAAACTTCCCTCCTTCTCCCATGAGACCAATCAATGTCCCCCCCTGTGTGCCCCCATCAGGGAGATCTCCAAGGGAAGCACCACAAAGTTTAGAGCATCACTGTTTCCCAAATGTTGAAACCTGAGAGTCACCTTTTCAGATTTAAGCTTTCTAATGACCTTATTTGTCTCGTGAATAGACTGGATTGTAGCATACTTTATATTTGATGCTAAACTGCATACATCAAACATAATGTCTAGTCTGGTTTGTTTTGCAAACCACAGTATTTGTCCTATTTTTGACCTAAGCTGCTCTTTTTCAGTCTCATTAAGAGAGGCATCCCTCTGCACTGCACGTGCTACTTGCAGTCGAATAGGCTGTAGGTTTTCAATGTAACTATGCTGATGTACATGAACTACACCATTAATAGTAACAAAATCCATTCCCACATAGCAGAAATTTTCATGTTCCTCACGTCCAACATGTAATACAGACTTTAGTGTAGGTATCACCTCTGTTGAGAAGTTTTGTGAGCCTGCCCAAAGAAAATCATCAACATGACATGCGAGTACTCCAGTAACCTTACACTGTTCATCCAACCAATAGAATACTGCTGGATCTACTTTAGACATTTTACCACCTGTACTCAGCATGATTTCTATCACTTTGTTGTACCATACAATGATGCATCTGCAAGGCCGTAAACACACTTGTTTAGTTTCCATAGAACATTTTCTTTTCCTGCTTCAGGAGGGGGCCGGACATAGATTTCTCTGGACAACTGCATGCCCTGCAAGAAAGCAGATTTGATGTCCATAGAATGGACTTGCCACTTATTTTGACAGATTACAGCTAATAACAGCCTAAGAGAGTCAGAAGCACAGGTTGGAGAATCTTTCTGCAGCTCGTGAATATTAAGCTCTTCAAAACCTCTGGCTACGAGTCGCGCTTTGGGCACAATACCATTCGGAGTTTCTTTGAGACTACAGACCCATCTGGTAGAGACACACTTTTGACCTGCATCATCAACTTCCTCAAAAACATTGTTTTTGTACCAATTCACCATTTCATCCTGTTTGGCTGCATCAAATGAAATATCTTTTGTTATGAGTACATCAGCCTCTCTATCAGTTGATTCAATGTGAAGATTATCAACACATGACATATCCACTGACCGTTTTTGCCCATCACTGCCATCATTTTCAATATGTTGCAGATTGAACCAGTTTTTATATTTTCCAGAGGCAAACCCTGGCTCTCTGTAGACCACCACTGTCCTGTTTCATAAATGTTACAGTCTGTCCTGCTTTTAACTTTACACCAGCAGAAGAGACAGGATTACCACACACACCGTGATCTGTTTCAGGTTGTGTCATTCTAGGATAAACCACTTCTCCTGTATTAACCGCCCTGTCGTTGATGTTTTCTTGTTCACTGTCTGTGTTTTCTTCACTATCTGAGCTATCTGCTGCATTGTTTAAGCTGCCTTTTTCACTTGGTACCTGGCTGTTGTCTTGCTCATTTTGCTTATCTTGAGATTCCTGATCCTGTGTGTTTGTTTTACAGAGCCTGGATTGATGTACTCTAACAAGAGTCCCCCCATGTCTTACAAATACAACAGCTCCATCTAGACCAATAAAGTGAAAGGGAAAGTGACGTGACATGTGGCCAAGTATGGTGACCCATACTAGGAATTAGTGCTCTGCATTTATCCCATCCAAAGTGCACACACACAGCAGTGAACACACATACACCGTGAACACACACCCGGAGCAGTGTGATAACTACCCCTGGCCCCTTCCATTCAGGACAGTCTGCTCTTTTGTAATATACCTTGTCTCCTGTCGCATACATTTCATCTGTGGGCCTAAGCTGCCTACGTAGTGCCCTTCTTATTCGTTCAGAAGACTCTGCTTCTGTAAATGCTTTCCTAGAAGCATGTAAAGCAGAAATGTGTTCTCCCACTTTAGCACTCACAGTGGTACCTTCTAGAGCAGGCAATTTATCAACTAATACAGACGGAAGGTTAGGATTCTGTCCAAACACTAATTGGTATGGACTGTAGCCATGAACATTCAACATACTGTTCTTAGCCATGAGGGCCCAGTCAAGGGCAGTGTGCCAGTCACATCCATTTTCTCGCTTGACCTTCAGGATGATCTCAGTGAGTGTTTGGTTATGTCTCTCGGGTAGTCTGTTGCTCCAGGGACTGTATCCAGCAGTTGTTCTTGTCTCGATGTTAAAGTTTTCAGCCATGTCTCTGATTTCTTGGTTGTTGAATTCCCCTCCATTATCACTGTACAGCTTCTGGGGGGCACCATGGACACTTATCCAAGTGTGAATGAAGGAGTTGACAATTTAAGCTGACTTCTTTGTTTTCACAATGTTTCCGGCGCTGAAACGTGTAAAGTGGTCGATGATGTGAAGATACCATACACCTGGTTCTAACTCATGTAGATCCACTGCCACTGTCTCGTTATATTCTGAAGCCATGGGCAACCCCACAGCAGGCTTTGGCTTTGTCCTCTTGTACTTTTGGCATATTTCACAGTCATATACTATTTGTTGTAGAATAGTAAAACATTCTTTGTCCTTATTTCCTGAACTGTGAATGAGCCTCTGTAGCCTGTCTGCTGACGCGTGACCAAACGGTTTATGGAGCTTCAGAAGGACTTTGCGTTTCTCATCTGGAGACATATTTTCTGTCACTGTTAGAACTTCCTCTTCAGTTTGATCTTTTTTAGTGTCTTTGTCTCTGATATCGACACAGTAATTGTCCAGAACTAGGACATTCCTTTAATCACCTCATCGCTCACATATGCAACACGGTTCAACCCCGTTCCTCTACAACACCTCCTTTTTACCCACGCGCTCACCTTTGAACCAGCGCATGGCGCTAACCTCATTTTTAACCCGGAAGAACCTTCTTCCATGTGAACAGAGTAGGGATGAAATAACATGTTAACAGTTTGAAACTGCTGGATAAGTAAGGTAACACTTTAGATTAGGGAACACTATTCACTATTAACTAGTTGCTTATTAGCATGCAAATTACTAGCATATTGGCTGTTTATTAGTACTTAAAAAGCACATATTAATGACTTATTTTGCAAGCCCTGCATGTTTCAGAGTAAAAATGCGACACTCTTGCACATTCTACAGACTCTTGGTTTCAGAGAAGTTCACGGTCAATGAATACGGCACATTTATGCCCCCCCCTTTCTACCTTTGATGAATAATGAATAATTACTTTATGGTGTTCATATTATGTTTTAGATTATATGTTAGATTTAGATTGATAGGTTGTAGGAGTGCATATTTTATTTACCTCATCTCTTTGAATAAGCAGCTGGAAGTAGTAAATATATTTCAAAATAAGAGTCCGGGGGCCCGTTCTTCGTACGTCGCTTATTACAGCCGAGATGAAATGTCACATCCAAGACGATATCATCGCGCTAATCAGGATCTGGCTAATTCGGTTCTTCGAACGCACCTGTTGTTGATGATTAGTATGGCTGGATTGAGTTATCGGAGATAATTGCGCGTTCATGGGTTGGTTTAAAAGGGGCTATGTATCGATACTCGAAACCACGATCAGCAATGCAGCGATTGGCTGGCGGCAAGACAGCAACGTAATGACATCATATAATTAAAAAAGACACCTGACGAAAAACTTGACAAATTTTTGGACTTTTATAAGGAAACAGCCAAGTGAACAAAACTACATAAATGTTATAATAGATAAATGAAATGTGCACTCTTTTTATTTTATTTGAATTTTTTACATGATTCCCAATTATTTATATTCACGATTTCTAACATGCAACATTTTTATTTCAATGTAGTAATTAGCAATTCATTTAATTTTATATTTAAACAGATTTGTTATGTGACGGCATTAATTAAAGTTTCTTAAGGGTCAAGATCATGTTATCTGCATCTCCTGCGCTCAATCAAGCCACTTCCATAATAGCTGTCGTCACTCAAATTAATGCACGACTCTACATTATCTAAGTTTTTCGTCAGGTGTCTTTTTTAATTATATGATGTCATTACGTTGCTGTCTTGCTGCCAGCCAATCGCTGCATTGCTGACCGTGGTTTCGAGTATTGATACGTAGCCCCTTTTAAACCAACCCATGAACGCGCAATTATCTCCGATAACTCAATCCAGCCATACTAATCATCAACAACAGGTGCGTTCGAAGAACCGAATTAGCCAGATCCTGATTAGCGCGATGATATGGTCTTGGATGTGACATTTTATCTCGGATGTAATAAGCGACGTACGAAGAACGGGCCCCTGGTGTATTTTGGGCTTGTTTATAATTATTTGGCGACATTCCAACATTTTTGTTTCTGGTTATTATTGCTTTTTTTGTTACACAAACAATATCTGGCATTTAATTCAATGTATAAAATGTAAATTATTCCATAATTTAATAAATACAGTTTGAAGCAGAAAAGCTTACAATCTAGTGTACTTTTTGTATTCAAATAAGTTAAATATTAAATTATAAATGTATTTATTTTATTAAGTAAAAACTTTTTATTTTATTTGATCAATTCTCATTGCACCCCTAAAGTTATTTTTTCAAATTAGGAGCACATGGGCTCCTTGGGACAAGTGAAGCATCTTGACCTGGCTATCGATACTTTACATAAAAGGACTGCTCACCCATGCTGCAAAGGAAATTGGACTTGCTCTTCAGTTGCAATCCGACGCCTTGGGGTATCACCTGTGACACACAAACAACAGTTTAATCTACTTTAACCTTAGGTGCCAGAAGTATGCAAATAAAAGAGACTGAACACTACTTAAGAACAAAGAGCAAATTTCAAACATGTAGGTACCTGCTGCGGAGCCGTTATCATCGTCATCTTCTTCAGTTTTTCCTTCGGAGAACTCTTTGGCTGGTTTGGGAGGCTTTGCCTCATTCACGCCTTCTTTCATCTTGCGCTTCCAGATCTTCTTGGGCCGGACTATGGGGCTCTCGCTATTGGTCAGGCTTAAGTCATGGACGAAGGTCATTGGATCAATTAAAAGGTGAGGCTGAGCATTTGAAGGAGCTGAGGTATCAGTTGGGACGCCGTCCTGTTCTTTTGCCTCTTTAGAGATTTTCCTCTTCTTCACTGCAGTCGTTGAATTATCATCTGTTTTCTTTCTCCTCCTACCCTTTTCTTGTTTTGGGCCGTCAGGTGTTATCTTTCGTTTCTTGATCTTGGAATCAGGAGAGCCAACTGGAAACAATTAAGTAAATTAAGACAGCATTAACCTAATTTAGTCCATCTGACTCATTAGAGACAATGACTATTTTTAAAAATAAATCTGTAAACCATTAGCAATGCAAGCATGATAGTAAAATTGAGCAATGCATTTACTTTCAGCGGTAGCAACTGTCGTCTTTGGGGTTCTAGGCTTCCGTGGCTTTTTTGTTGGCATGGCGATAAGGGCTTCAGACATATGTGTGGTCGTCCCTTCAACAGAACCGCTTACGACCGCTTGCAGCGCTTTAACCGTCATTACAGAGAGCGCAGATCTTCGGTCACCTCCTGAAGTATCAGCTCCATTCTCTTTGCCAAGAATATGATCACCTGTGGGGAATAAAATGTGTTTTATTTAAACAAGACATCAAAAGATGTCAACAATACATCTGCCAAGCATTCAGACCACCATCTGAAACTTTAGTGTTCAAATACACCTGAATAAGTGCTAAAATTACACATATTATATTTATTATACCAATATATTATACATCCCTAGACAAATATAAGGATGTATAATACTTTGGGACCATATTGGTTACCAGCCAATATCAGTCTTTTTTTTTTTTTTTTTTTTTTTTTTCGGGCGGAATTTGTAAATGTGCATCCCTACATATATGCCTTCTTAAAAATGCATATATGCTCTCATTTCCTGTTTCAGTCACAAACATGCCCCCCTAAGCTGGAGTCTTGGCAGAGTCTGAATTTTGGCACAGTCGGTGTGGCCTGACCAGGAATGATTCAGGTATCATTCTGTTGAGCAACACAAATCATTCCACCAAACAAACAGTTTGGAGCTGTGTAAAATGATTCGTCATGGCCAAAACGTCCTAGCATTCCTGCTGAATGTGTCTGATTCCATTGTAAATATTATGGTATAAAAATAGGACTGTTTGTATCATAATTTTGCCTCATACTGCTAAAACAATAATAAATTAATGGTTTGCTTTCTGTTTGCCTTGAAGGATCTGGCCGAGCATTGCTGTAAGGAAGAGGGGAGGGCATGTTGGCGAGCGTTACGATATTGGCTTCCTCACACTCACACACACACACACGCAAGCAGCCAATCAGAGGCGGCTCAGATCCCTCTCAACACTACTGCATTCCCTACATCTCGCCATCTCTGGGGTATGTTTTCATCTGAAGGTACTGCCCCCCTCCTCTCCTCCCCTATCCTTCTCTCTCCATCCCTCCATCTGTGTGAAACAAAAGACTGCGGCAAGGTCTCGATCCCTCCCACTTTCTCCTCACCTCTCCCTCCTTCTCTATTTTATCTAGTCGGTCGATATTGGATATGCATTTGGTACATGCCCATTACCTTTACTGTCATCGAAGGCTCTCTCTAGGCATCTTCAGGTCACTTTTGACCAAAAGATTTTACATTTCGAAATATTAAAAATCATAGCTTCATCAGAACGGTACAAAACTTGGTAACTTTAATGGCATTTGGTATGTGAACACAATTTGAGGGCACGATTCGAATAGGCTAAATGGACATTAAAAAAAAGGAAATTCACCATAGGAAATTATTGGGAAATGGGAAAATACAGAAAAAAAATTGTGTACACAATCAGCCATGATGCAGAGAAAAAGTGCACAGCTAGTCTCTATTTTAACCTGGAAAAAAATGGATCATTATTATTGCATAAATATTAATTGGTACCATAAAATTATCTCAAAATACAAAAAGAAAAAATATTATAGAACAAAAATATATAACATTGATTTTCCTGAAAAAATGAAAACAATCCAAGGCTTTGGTCACTTTTGACCAGCAAGGTACCAAGAGTGACCCAAAAATGAAGAGGCTTGGAGGGTTCAAAACTAATCAATAAAAACACTAATAATTTAACAACACCGTTAACTGTAATCTTCAGCAAATGAACATTCACTTTTTTATTAATCCATTATTAGTTCAATATTAGTGCATTGGAAATCTCACCTTTGATAGAGTGTGTAGAGGCATTAATCGATGCAGAAAGCAGGGAGGAGCAGTTTTGTGACGTGTCGTTTAAAGAGTCATCCAGTAGAGACGTGGTATCTTTGAGGGACGCCTCCTCGGTGGAACTGGTAGAGGTCATGGAGCTGTTCAAGTTTTCTTCTTCACAAGAAGTGTCCTGCAAGTCCCTGGAGACATCAATCATGGATCCTTCTGTAAACTTTGATTGGTCTCCAGTCTGGGAAAGACTATAAGAATTATCAAAAGTGTCCATCATTGAACTCCCATCCTCAGCTCTTGAGCTTTCAAGGTAGGTTGACTCGGCCAAGGACGGATAGTAACATAAAACTGTTCAGACTGGTAGCAAAAATCCACATTCATTTTTTGGTTTGAAATGCAACTAAAATTGGATTTTTAGGTCAGAGATGTGGCCTGGAATGTAGTGCACAATACTGTTAATGTGCAGGCAACTAGAGTTCAAACCCGACTTGGGTTGTGCAATAGCATGTGCACTAAATTCACTCCTTTACACTCACTATCTATGTAATGAAATATAAGCGGTGTATAATAAAATGAGTGTACAGGCCAAAAATCAACATATGCATCAATGTGGAAACTACAGTAAAGCCTCTGATGGTTGTTGTCTCGTGCTCCTCTGAGCAATTTGAATACAGTGTGAATAAGGTCAAAGCAGAGCAAAAAAAAATTAAGACAGACAATGCATTTTGATCTTCAATGAAAAGCACAGTATTGTTGATTGTTTTATTGCATCTAGGTTGCGTGCAGTTTTCCATTGTCTGATGAATGAGGGAGAATGTGGGTGGAAAAGAGCACTGGGGCAAGATATCACCTGTTTACGGACTATTTTTCAGTTTGAATCACTTCCTAATCCAAAAAGTCAACTACCATTGGTGAAAACACGTCTGACTGGCCTAAAGTTACTTTTGTCAGAGCACAGAATACTAGCGTTGGTGATATTAAAAGCCATTCAGGAAGTGCATGGCACCACCTAAGTACAGGAAATCAGAACATGCATGATAAAACACGCTGCCATTCTTGTAATCATATTACTTACAATATGAATGCCAAAGATTATATATTGTTTCCACAAAGCTATCTGCAAACAAGTGAGACAATCTTGTTTTGAAATGCTATAGACCTCATAAAACAAACTGACTATGCAGCTGGTCACATGTGCAACATACCAAAATGTTTTATTAATTTAAGACAGCACACTAGTATGCATAGATCTTTTCTAAGGCTTAATTTAAGAGGGAAAAAGGTGAGAATTGGGCAGGAGTGCCACCACTTAATACCACAGTTTTATAGTTAACAAAAAAAACTGATAAAGAAAAAATTTAATTTTGTTTTTTGTTTAATTAACAATTACATGAATACATGATAAATCCACCATTCAAACTGTGTTTTTGCCTTAGCCTAAATCACTACAGTAAGAGCCAAAGTACAACCAAAACAGTGTTTTATTTATTACTAGAGGGAAGTTACATAGCGGACATACCTTTTTAATGGGAAAATTTAAAATTAAAACACAGTTTCAAGATTCTAAAACTAACTAAAATAATATCAAATTCATAGTCTTTTTTTTTTTTTACAACTTTACAACCCACCTCTATTAAACATGAAAATGCTACTCATTAGCAATTAGCGCTGCACGATTGTGACAAATCATACCTGTCGATTATTCCCTTTAAATTGTAATTGCGATTATTAATTACAATTATCACAATTTACATTGAATGATGTTTTGAGAAACTTTATACCATTGTTTGAAGCAACTGCATTCCATATTTTTATATGAAAATAAACAAGCTGAAAACACTCTTACTGAAAAACTTTTAACGCCTTTCTATAGCATTAAGCCTTAAACACATCTTAACCACACCGAATAATGCAAGTGGACTTTATCACTTTTTTTTTTTTTAATTGCACCTTTGAATGATTATGAAATTGTGGCATCCATAATTGTAATAACAATTAGAAATTCAATTAATTGTGCAGCCCTAACAGTAATAACACTAGACTGCGCTGAGAACTCTGATGTTGTTAAATATTTAGCACTTTAACTTTGTCAGCCCTATATGGAGATAGAATTGTTGCTTAATTCCAAATAAATAGATTATGCTACAATACTAACTAATGCAAAAAATAAATAAATAATAATAATAAATTAAAACTTACAAATGAGAGTATTAAAAATAAAACCTAAACTGAAATTACAAATTAAAAACTACATAAATAATCTAAACCGTAACAACCCTGTTTCCAACACTCTGAGGCCTGTTTGTGGCAGTTGCTCACCTTGCATCTCTCTGCTCTTAGGCGAACCGCTATCAGGCACAGCAGAAGGGGACCTCATTGGGACCGGCACGTGATGGGGACTGCTTCTGCCTCCTCCACTGGCCACGTGATGGTGCTGAGGGCTTCCTCGTGGAGGCGTAAAGCTCTGCGCGGCAGGTGGTATCATCTGAGTCTGTGCTTGAGACTGAGTTGGGGCCTGCGGTTGGGACTGGTGCGATGGATGCTGGTAATACGGCATTCCATTAGGCATCACACCATAATGCTGCTGTTGAGGCGGGTGGTGCTGTGAATGGTGTTGGAGATGATGCACTGTTGCAGACTGGTGCTGCAAGGCCAGAGGCTGCTGGTGATGCTGGGACGCTGGGATCCCCTGGCTGGGAAATGTCCCATACATGCTGTGAGAGTTATATCCCATGGGCATCGAAGATCCCCCCTGCGGCTGCCCAGGATTTCCCCTTCCCCAATACTGCGGCCCAGCGCCCGGAGGTTGCCGGGACGGTCCCATACTTCCGTTGACTTGGTACGGTCCATGGCCCTGGAAGTGGAGCTGAGGCTGCTGTGGTTGTATCCCACCCTGGGAGCCAGGTTTCTGGTGCAACCCGTGGGGCGGGACGGGCCCCATCGCTGGGTTGTACTGAGACTGGCCCCACAGATAGTCAAACCCCATGCTGCCTGGGAGGAGATGGCTGCTCATATGAGGATAAGAGGAAGAGGGAGGGTGGGTGCCTGGCTGGCCGCTCCCACCTGCAGTAGTGATGCCGTTCACATTCATTTCGCCATTCAGATCTGTGTGACGAACAGCATCAGTTAAAAACAGAGCATTAAAGGGATAGACCACCCAAATATGAAAATTCTGTCATTAATTACTCATCCTCATGTCGTTCCAAACCCGCAAGACCTTCGTTCATCTTCAGAACACAAATTAAGATATTTTTGATGAAATCCGAGAGCTCTCTGACCCTCCATAGACAGCAAGCATCCTACCACGATCAACGCACAGAAACATAGTAAGGAAATCGTAAAAAAAAATCCATGTGACATCAGTGGTTCAACCGTAATTTTTTGAAGCCACGAAAATACTTTTTGTGCGCAAAGAAAACAAAAATAACGAGGAGACAAATTGTTGAATAAAGTTGTTATTTTTGTTTCTTTGCGCACAAAACGTATTTTCGTGGCTTCAAAAAATTACGGTTGAACCACTGACGTCACATGGACTATTTTAATGATGTTCTTACTACCTTTCTGGGCCTTGAACTAGGGCTGGGCGATTTTTCTGATTTTATCGATTAATTCGAATTTAATGTTTTGCAACGATTATATTTTTTAGAAATCGAGGAATTGCGATTTTGAATAGAAATATTACCAAACGTTAGAATTAGACACTTTGACTATGCCAATGATAACAGTAAAGAACGATCGAACCCCATGTCGGCGCACGTGATTAACTGCTCACGTGTGACGCGCTCGTATCACACAGAATGCGCTTTTGTGTTGACAAAGATGTGACGCGGTCAGTGGAATAGGAAAAACATGCAAGAAGATGGGAGTGAACTTCTTTTAACTTGAGCGCCACGTTTTTAGAATGCAGTTTCATGCATGAGTCAGCGCTGCAAGAGACGCGAGCGTCAATGTTTACATGGTTTACAAAACTATGGAAAAAGCAGCGCAAGCGAATAAAAAAAACCTGTGACTACTACTGTACATCTGATATTTCATGTTTGCATCATGGTGACAGGCTGAAAGCTGCAGTTGTTTTTACAGAACATTTATAGTTAATAATAGTCTACTTGTGTTATACCTTCAGTCATTTTGAATTTGAATTTCCTTGACTTTGTGAACATATAATATATGCATAAGTTTTTACAATATGTAGTTGTAGTTCATGCATCTTTTCTGCAAAGATATTTAACAAGTGATTTGTTTAACATTTACATCATGTTGACAACTTCATGGGTGGTGCACTTGGAATCATGTTGTAGTTACATTTTCAAGTTGACTTGTTAAAAATCGAGAATTGGTCAAATGTTCTAAAAAAAAATATCTAGATTTTAATTTTTTGCCAAATTGCCCAGCCCTACCTTGAACGTGTCAGTTGCATTGCTGTCTATGGAGGGTCAGAAAGCTCTCGGATTTCATCAAAAATATCTTAATTTGTGTTCTGAAGATGAACGAAGGTCTTACGGGTTTGGAACGACATGAGGGTGAGTAATTAATCACTTAATTTTCATTTTTGGGTGAACTAACCCTTTAAGGGCTTAAAATCCACCACATTTATGGATTTATAGACTACATGTATGGATAAAAAATGAAATGCAAATACAAGACAGAGACTCACTTTTCCCTTGCTGGGGGAAGCTCATGGAGGACCCGTTAGTAAAGAGAGAATCTCCTGAGGAATGCTTCAGTCCTGAGTTAGCGGACACAGAAGAGTGAGGCCCGTAGTTGAAATGGTTATTTGCCTCCATCTGGCGGAAGAAAAAAAAACACAACTGAAAGATGATACGAGGCATATTTTTAGTATTAAGATACTTTCACTTATGCCACGTTCTTATGCACAGACAACTGTAAATATGCCAATTGTCATCTGACTTCCCTGAAAAGTGTAAACACTGTCCCTGCATCTAAATATGCCTACTAAACAGTATGTAAAATCAGTATTGTTGTGTCCCAAATGATACACCATAGCTACACTATGAACAATACAAGTTTTATAAGGTTATCTTGTCCAGCATCAGAATGCGTGAAGTGTCCATTCCACACCTAGATTTTTTTGGTTAATTAAATGCACTTATTATTGAAATGTTCAGTGTGAACACAATAATCACACTATTTATACTACAAAATGGCACAGAATAGTGCATAAGGACACATATTGGGACGCACCTTATGTCCAAATTCATAGTGTTCAATAAAACTAGGCGAAAAGTACCCAGATGAGCTACTACTTCAGATGAGATTCTGAAGTATGCATCTAAAGCACACTTTACTGTCCCACAAAGGCCATGGGAGAGGATTATGAAAAAAGCAGTATGTCTGGATTACATTCATACTACAACATACTTTTCTTTTTTTTTTATCAGTTGCAAAGTTTGTTCCTCATCAACTGTAGTGCCTACTAAAGTATGTGATTCTGTGATTTTCAAAAAAATCTCTAACAGCCTGTCACGATAACAACTTTTTATTGTGCGATATATTGCCCCAGAAATAATTGCGATAAGCGATATTATTGTCATTTTAAAGACCATTTTATGCCACTGAATATATATACAGCAATACTGGCTCAACTAGTATTCGAGTAAGTTTAGGGCAGGACTTCCCATTTATCCACCAATGACAGACAGGGTGTGGGATATATTCAAGAAACCTACTTTAAAACTTTAATGTCATTATAAACATTAGTCACGATAAACAGTACATGGTATTTTGACATGGATGAAAATGAGGCTTTGAGGAACAGAATGTTATTTTTTATATATATATACATTTTTGGCAGACAGTTTTATAAGAAACAACTTGCATCAGTTCAGTTATTCCCTGGGAATCGAACCTATAACCTTGGTGTTGCTAGGTCCATGCTTTCACAGTTTGAACAACTCAATAGGTTGTGCTTTTGTTTGCCTTGGTGTCTGTCATGCAGCTGTCAAACCATTAAAAACAGCGTTACAAAAAAAAAAAAGTGGATCAGTGGACAATCCATTTTTGTGGCATAAATATTTGTGTGAAATAAAAAAAGTTAAACCCACAGAGTCATGGAAAAATGAATATAAATTATTCCAAATAACCTGACTCACATTTCAACTCTTTACTAATACCACTAATACAATTACTATTTTAAACAATAGGCAGATCCTTCTCATCTCTCTGTACTAAAAATCTGCAGACTCAAACTCTCATCCAACGTACAGAGCGTTTAACGTTCATGAACCATAGTGCTAAAGACAGTGGCTGCGTCTCAAAAACTAGCGATCTGCCTAACTATACGGCATTTATCAGCAATCCTGGCGCGTACATAACGTTCTAATTGGATTTTCTGCATCTTTGTGGACACACCGAACGTTCGGAACGCACCAATGACGCCCCAAAACGCTGTGCAGGTCGCCGGTGTGCGAGGTTTTGAGACGCAGCCAGTGAACACTGCTGTGGCGGACATCACAAATATTGCTCTTCACATCTCAACATAAAATGTCGCAGATAAAGCCGATGAGATGCCCGAGCAATCGCGTTAAATAACACACATCTCACAATCAGATCTCATGCTGAACGCCAGCCTCAACCTCAACACCTGAAACATAATAACAAGTCAGTCCTGGATATTTTTATAAAATCTAATTAAAACGACCTCATGTAGATTTATGCATTTAGATCAAATCCGGCGGCGCTAATTATTTTATGCGTGTCCATCATTAGCCACACAGCTAACTGTAAACATCAAACTCAAAACTGTGCGCTTTCATTCAGAAAGGCCGTGCGGCCGACATAACGCCACTAAAAAGCAACACATACGAAGAAAGAGTGATGTTTAATTAAATATCAAGCGGGAAATGTGAATAAAGAAACGAGAGAGATGTGGGAATCGGCTAGCATGAAGGCTAACCAACGCACATGACCATGCGCTGCTTCTGATCTCTCTCTCACACACACACAAATATAAATATATATCCACATTTGATAAAACTTCTCCAACACTAAAACACCACAGCTCAGGGTAAACCAGCTCATATCTGCTCTAGCTCGGTTTCTTCGTTCTCTTTAATATAATTTCACTCTTGTACGATCATTAATTAACCCATAAAACGAAGAAAAGGAAACGAGATGCGGCCAAACAACAAACACAAAAAAGACATTGCTTTAAGATAAAAGACTAATTATGTATTAACACATATGACCGCAAATAAAGATATAGGGAAGACGTTTCAGTGATGTACATAATGAAAACCTAGAGATATACAGACACGTATAAAATGCTGTTTTGATATGAAGTTTGATTAAAGTGCTCGGTTTATATCAGCGGCGATGCCGTGACAAAATGAGGCCTGCGTTCCCGCATCACAACGACTCATCGCGACCGTTTATGAGACAATAATCGCCGATTAGCATTAATGTTAATTCAATATTTTGAAGTATGAATGAAATCGGGCTCGAAATCAATTTAACAGCGTTTAATCATCGACGAAAGTGGTGTAAACGAAAACAGCAGCTCTTATTTACATAACCACGGGTTTGTGCGTTATTTAAATAATTAAAGACGTTAAACGTTACAGATAAAACGGACTGATTATATAAATACAATAGAGTTTGTGAGCTGTAAGACATTAGGGGAGGCTTATCATGTTTTTAAAGCTCGCCTCTACAAATGCGACATTAAAAACAGACGTTTATCATCTCGTGTCAGAAGGTCATCTTTCGTTGATTAATTCAGGTTATCTTCCCGATATACGCTAAGAGAAAATGAGGCAGCATCACCCACACAACACACTCTCAAAAGTTTCCCCGTATAATGATAATAAAACTGCCCAACCTTGATACCTGCCAACCGCACAGGAGACGGGGAGTGTGGCCCCCGGCAAAAGGACCGATGTGGATGAAGAGGGTGTACGCGATGTAAATAATAAACGCGTAAATCGCTAACCTTTGGGTTTCAGATTTGCAAACATGGCTGGTAATGTTTGAGCGCAGCCCATATGTGACCCTGGACCACAAAACCAGTCATAAATAAGGGTAATTTTTTTTTTAATTGTGATTTATACATCATCTGAAAGCTGAATAAGTAAACTTTTCATTGATGTATGTTTGTTAGGATAGGGCAATATTTGGCCGAGATACAACTATTTAAATATCTGGAATCTGAGGGTGCAAAAAAAAAAAAATACTGAAAAATATTAAGAAAATCACCTTTAAAGTTGTCCAAATTAAGT